ATCTGCTTGAGGCCTGCTAGCATGAGGTGCACAGGCACTGCTGGCTCCTTGCTCCATGGGTTGGATGGGGCTCAGACACATTTTACTTGCTCCCCTGTGGTTGCCAACAGCAGCATGTAGCCAAACAGCTGGACGTTCACATCTGTGTCTGCCAGCACAGAGGTACTATCTTAGCCATGCAGGCTGCATCTATCTCTGCAGGCATCTAGCATCATCGATGGCTGGACTGGATGATCTTGTAGGTCTTTTCCAACCTTGGTGTGCTTCTGTGATCAGTTAGTTAGTGTCATAACAGTGTTTGTCCATAAGACATAAACGTCCTGCAGTAAATCCTCAGGATTTGGCAAAACTGGACCAGAAGGACGCACTTGTATTAAACCTGAGCAGCTGCAAAGCATCAGTGTTTCTAGTTCCCAGGCAAAATACTTGCCTCAATTTATTTTAATGTCATCATCTCAATTCCTTCTCATGCTTTCCATAACACACCCTAAACAATGAATTGGCAAACAAATGCTTGAATGTGTGATGGGGAACATGCCTCTGACATTACCTCATCGTCCCAAATGCTTACAGATCTGCTGTGCTGCAGGGACAAGTGCTTGTGTTCCCGTGGAGCAGGCGATGTCCCAGCAAACAGTCCCATTAAACATCAGGTTAGGAACAGGTACAGTGATAAAGTAGAAAATGGAAAGAAGGAAACCACAAAACTTCTGCGTTCTGCAATGGCAGAAATTATTGTTTCATCATGAATAAAAACATTGTCTCCTATTTCTCCCTGCTCAATCACCTAAATATACGTCTGGTTGAGAATGAGAGAAACAGAAAGGCCAAAAATCATTCTAAAGTACTTGTGTTTCTGTTTCTAGCTCAGCCACAAGCTTCAAGGACACGGCACCAGAGGAGAACTGCTCTGACACAGGGTGGCAGATTTTTAAGCAGAACGTTGTGTCAGCATCCATTCCCCAAGAAACTGGAAGAGCCTAAGGAAAACAAAGGCATAACAGTTTGATGCAGCTATTTCCATCTCCTCTTCTGTTCCAAGATCTCTTCTAACCAGACCTAGAGGGAGCAGGAGTCTTTTGGCGCAGGCTTCTGCCCCTCATTTCTGCTTGAGCCAAATTTGCAGCACAGCACTCAGGGATTAAACAGTCACATAAGAAATTGCCAATCCTGTTGTACTGAAAATTGTCATTTTTTTGCTTAGCCAGAATTCTTAATGGGCCACTTTGCCAACTGCATCTTTTCAATGCCTTTTCTTTGCATGCAAGCAGTCTCGTGTTTTTGTTGTCCTGGGGAATTCTTTGCTATGGTGATCTTTTACCTAGCGTGAGAAGGGCCCGTGTATAACAACTTAATTGGGTGAGTCAGATTAATACAGAAATCTAACTCGCATATGAAGTGAAAAGCACTAAGAGCAATGGGTGAATTTACAGCTTCAGGAAATGTCTACATGCTTTTGGTTTGAGTATCGACATACATGTGGTATGTAAATGTCTGGTTGCACAACCTGTTTCTCCTTGCTGCTAAAATCATATCCATTTTTTTGTGCAGAACAGTTGAACCTCAGAAACAAACCTCCCGGTTTTCCAAAAGCTGAGATCTGTGGGTGATCCAATCTGTTAGAGAATCCCAGAGCCTGTTTACACTTCTCAAGTTGCAGACAAAATAGGCTGGATCAAAACAGCGCATTTGCTGTGACCCAGTTCCCTGCCAAAACTCATTTTCCCTTTGCTGATGCAAACAATCTTGAGGTCAACATCTTTGCACCCTCATGCTTTCCAGGTTAATAGGATTTTTTTCCAAGCATTCACTTCCGTTGCTAAAAAAGAATTAAAAAAAAAAAAAAGTTTCCAGTGCCATCCCTCAAAATCACAGAACCACAGAATGGTTTGTGTTGGATCACCTAGTTCCAACCCTGTGCTATAGGCAGGGACACCTCTCTCTAGACCAGGTTGCTCACAGCCCCATCCAGTCTGGCCTTGAGTTCTTCCAGGGAGGGGGCAACCTCACTGGGCAACCTGTTCCAGTGTGTCAGCACCCTCACAGTAAGGAATATCTTCCTGAAATCTAGTCTAAATCTACTCTCTTCCTGTTTAAAGCCATTTTCCCTTGTCCTGTCACTACCCGTCCTTATAAAAAGTCCCTCCCCAGCTTCCCATCAGGTACTGGAAGGCCACTAAAATGTCCCCCTGGAGCCTTCTCTTCTCCAGGATGAACCACCCCAATTCTCTCTGCCCGGGAAAAGTTCTTTTTCCTCATTTTACAATCCAATAACCACAGTCTTCTCAGTAGATTTTGAGAGAATCTGCCTCCAAACATGCATACATTTGAGAAGAACCTCCTCCAAACACATACGGATACGAGTGCCAAGAAGAACAAGAAAGGCTTTCATAGGTACCTCAACCAGAAAAGGAAAGTCCAGGAAGGCATACCCCCGCAGTGAGTGACACAGGCAAGCTGGTTATGATGGACAAGGAGAAGGCTGAGGTGCTTGAGAACTTTTTTGCCTCAGTCTTCTATAATAACTGCTCACGTCACAGCCCTCGAAGGATTGGTTTGGAAGGAGGGGATTGGGGAAGCCACATCCCTTTCACAGTGAGCAAGATCAGGTTCGTGACCATATACCAGTCTATGGGTCCTGATGAGGTGCCTCCCAGAGTCCTGAGGAAACTGTTTGATGTAGTCACAAAGATATTTAAATGATATTTGAAGTCATGCCAATCACGTGAAATCCCTGGTGACTGGAAAAAGGCAGCAATATTACACCCATTTTTAAAAAGGTAAAAAGGATGATGCCTCTGTCAGTCTCACCTCTGTGCCAGGGAAGATCATGGAATGGATCCTCCTGGAAGCTACTGTAAGGCACATGGAAGTCAGGGAGGAGAAACAAGAGAGCCAGCCAAGTGCTCTTCTATGATAGTGTAACTGCATCAGTGGACAAGAAAAGAGCTGCTGCTATCACCTAACTGGACTGCAGTAAGGTCTTTGACACAGTACCTCACAACATCCTTCTCTCCAAATTGGAAAGAGGTGTATTTTATGGGAGGACTATTCGATGAATGAGGAACTGGCTGCAGGATTGAGTCCAGAGACTGGTGGTCAATGACTCCATGTTTGGATGGAGATCAGTGATGAGTGCTGTCCCCCAGGGGGTCAGGGCTGGGATCGATACTCTTTAATATCTTCAGCGGGGTCAAGTGCACCTTCAGTAAGTTTGCACACAACACCAAGCTGTGGGGTGCAATCAGCATGCCTGACAGGATGGCATCCACAAAGACCTAAACAGTCTGACCAGTGGGCAAAAGAGTACTTCGTGAGCTTCCGTAAATCCAAGTGCAAGGTCTTGCACATGGGTTGTGGCACCCCCACTGTCAGTACAAGTTGGGGGATGAAAGAACTGAGTCCTTTTTGACTGCCAAAAAGGACTTGGGGGTACTTTTGAAAGTAGCTGAACATGAGCCAGCAATGTACCCTCACAGTCCAGAAAGCTAACCATATCCTGGGCTGCATCAAAAGAAGTGTGGCCAGCAGGGCAAGGGAGGTGATCTTGCCCCTCTGCTTGGCACTGTGAGACCTGACCTGGAGCAGTGCATCCAAGTGTGGAGTCCTCAGTAGAGGAGAGATGTAGACCTGCTGGAGTGCATCCAGAGGAGGGCCACAAAAGGGATGGAATACCTCAACTATGAGGACAGGCCAAGATAGCTGGGGCTGTTCAGCCTGGAGAAGGCTCCAGGGAGACCTGAGAGCAGCCTGTTAGTATTTAAAGGGGAGCTACAGGAAAGAAGTGGACAGAATCTTTAGCAGAGTCTGTGGTGATGACAAGGGGAAATGGCTTCAAGCTTAAAGAAGAGAGATTGGATATAAGGGAAAAGTCTTTTACAGTGATGGTGGTAAGACACTGATGCAGGTTGCCCAGAGATGTGGTGAGAGCCCCATACCTGGAGACTTTCAAGGCCAGGCTAGACCACATTCTGAGCACCTGATGGAGCTGTGGAAGTTCCTGCTCATTGCAGGGGAGTTGGATGAGATGACCTTTAAAGATCCCAGGGCTAAAACAGACCAAGAATAGTTAGAAGGAAGGCTAAGCAAAAAGTTGCATATGTTCTTGGTTTCTCCTCACTTATCAGAAGTGGAAGGGTTTTGTACGGTTTTTCACTTCTATTCCCCCTTCACATAATTTTTAATGTGATGAGTAAGACTAGAAGTATTATCTGTCTGCTGTACAGCTGGCCTGAAATAGGTTTCAATCTGTAAACTGCTCATCATACCATGATGGATTTTTCTACTTGAAGTTTATGGGCATAAAATTAGAAGAGGTTTTATTGAGACTGCTGTGAAATGACAATTATGAACTTGGCAATGAGCTTCTGGGGAGTCAAAGACACTTCAAATGTTTGAAAATGTTGGAACAAGGTTTTGTTATGATGACTTTGGGTTCAGCAGAGGTAGAGAAACCACTACCCTTGCAGGCAGACAACACGATCCCCAGTGAGAAAACAATGTCCTTGTGTTTGTGAAGTACCTGCAGGTACTCAGCTTTTAGCAAACAGAAGCAACAAACCAACAGCTATTTGATCTGAACAAGCTAGAAGGAATGAACATGTTCACTTTCGCCAGTTTTTCAAGGAATCTGAGATTAAAGACAGCAGAAATGCAGCACGCAAATCCACGCTGCAATCAGATGTGCACACAGCAGCACAAACTATCCAGTAATGTGGTGGTAGCAGAACACAACAGTAGGAAAATGACTGAAATGCTGTTTTCACACATGGGGCTGCTTGAGGAAGTTGTGTTTTTAACATAACTGAAAAGAAAGACTTAACAAGCAAAGCCTTGAATGTCTTCCATGTAAGCTATCCTGAGAGCTTCCAGATACAGAGGTGTTCCATAACCTTCACCAAAAAAATAAAGTGAAAGCACCACATAAATGATCAAAGTAAACACAGCAGGCGCCAAGTACAGTAAGTGTTTCTTTTTGTCTGATAACACTGCAATAACATAAACTGTATAACGCATGATAAAACACTGCCATAAAACAGAGAAAGTACATACTATAAGGTAAAAAATATAAAAACACTCATGTTAGCAGAAGGAAAAAAAAATACAAAGAAAAAATTACAATAAAATCATGGTACCAGTTTCTTCCTGTACTGCAAAATTTATTGGAAAAAATGTTTAAATTATGCAGCACTAAGATAAGTTACTTTTATTTTTGTTCTTGATTTTAAACATGCATTAATTCAAACAGAAACGAAACCTATTAATCAATGCAGAAAGTGTTATTAATCACCAAGCATCGCACGCAGATTTAAGGAGAGATGATGCAGTACCTATTACATATTATAATTACTTTCCTTCTCATAGGCTTAGAAATTTTAGCAATTAAAAAATATCTAAGCTATTCACAATAAAATGAGTAGTCACTGAATTAGCACAAATTTTGATAAATGAGCAGTTACTGTAAAAGTTGTTCTGTCAGAAAACTATCAAACAAGATCAGACCTGCTTCAAATAGTCTTTACTCAAAGTGATGTTATTCCTTGTGATGACTGCCTCTGTGTCTGCTAGGATACTGAAGGCCCCCTCAGACTGATAAGGGGGTCTGTTAGAGTCAACAGAAATCTTGAGACCAAAACCTCCCTTAAAACTCTTGCAAGGAAATACTCGTGCCCTCTGACCACACTCCTGCAAACAACTTCAATTACGTGCCTTGTTTTCACTGCAGTGAAATTCCTAAAGTGTGCTTTTCTTCTCCATCTGCTGACGGTCAAGCAACTCACAGCATAGCTGAGGACGGTTTTTGTCCAAATCTCTACAAATATCTTTTTTATGCTCTTCACTGAACTTCAGAGACAGTAAGTCCACCTTTAGCCACACTGTTCAGTCCCTGTCGCCTTCTCCAAACTCCACAAGAGAACAGCTGACAAAAAATTGCTGGGACTGCCAGGTACACCTGCTGAGTGTTAATCCCGTGAAATTAAAGAGATGCAAAGAGAAGCCAGACAAGCACTTCTCAAATGTGCAGCTCTTGCTTCTTGCTCCCATGTGTGCCACCAGTGGCCCCATCAGCTCCTTCTGCTCTTTTCTATGTTATATACAAGCTGATTACATTATTTCAAAGGAGGCTGGAAGTCTTTCAAGTGTGACTATATTTTTCTCTATATTTACTTCTTAACTACATTTACTATGAAGACTTTCATCACTTTTTCAGATGGTACTCAAATAACCTGTATCTAACTTGCAGTCTTTCATTATCGGAAGTACTAAAAATAGACTTCAAAACACAACCCTTAGCAGATTAACTACTTCACATTCTTACCTAGGAATATTTTATTTATCCCTAGTAAACACTGCCACTGTTCCTTTGCAGAAATGTTATGCTTTTAATCATGACATGCAAAATCATTTTAATTTATCTGGAAACAATTTGTGTAGAAATTTGTGAACTGAAAACTACCTAACATACAGGTGCTACCAGCTAAAAAAACCTCAAGCACTGTGATTTTGTGGAACAAGAGAGAAAAAGGAAATGTAAAAAGCTGGCTTTATTTTTTCCTGTCCTTGATGGATGTATGTATTCTTAAGTGTCAGTCAAGCAGACTTTGATTTTTGTGAACACATATGCGACTCAAAGATTCAAGAGCAGATCCTTTCAAATAACCATTACGAAAGCTCTACTAAGATTAATAACCAGCTGAACACCCTACTTATAATCTCAAAGTTGTACAGATCTCGCTTTTTTTGACAGGCATTTGTTACCAAACATTTGCTGTTTGCCACTCAGTCAAGAAAAGCAACACATGAAACATAGCTTGATGACGGAGTTTTGGCTAGGTCAGTACATCCAATGGTTATGGGTAAGCAAAACCCCTTCCAGTACAAGAAACCAATCTTAACAGCAATAACAAGCAGTCAAGTGAGTTACATTCAAGAGAAGTGCACTGAACAGTATTAGTAATTATTGACTTTCTAAAGTAAAGCTGAAGGAAATCTCACTGATGCAATCTGAATGGAATCAGGGTCCATGGTAAGGAACTCATCTGCATTATCTCTGCTAGTAAACTTTTATTCTGTTGTTTCTAATTCCACCTCACATTTCAGGAGATGCCAGTTGATATCAATTAAAAATGAGACAATTGTCCTACTAAGAGAGACCAGTGTTTACACTTTCCTAAGATAAAAAATAAAGACAATAAACTCAGTGACTTTATAGCCATACCAACATACGTACATAGCTTTCAAAATACGAATATCAATATACTGAAATGCTTTAAATGTTAAAAAAAAAAAAGGAAATACAAAATAATATTGAAAATTCACAAGAAAATGTTTTCAGGAGTTGAGCACAGCTCTTTTTCTCGAGAGAAGTGTTGCTCTCATAATGTCTTTCTGAATCCAGTTATAAAGATAGAATCAGTTTCTTGAAGCAGCAGACCTATGGCACATTCTCTACGTGTGGTTGTTGTTAAGATTGTTCTTGTTAAAGAATCTCCTTGCTTCAACACTGCTAAGTGACACAGAGCAGCGAGATGGATTTTCCTTTCTGTATTCAATGCTTTCCATCATAGCCTGCTTGATCACCTGGAAAACATTTAACAACATGTCATTCAGGAAAGTAACTAAGTTTCAATGATTTACTAATTGATAAAATTCATAGAAAAAAACCCTTCAGATCTTAATGTCTGTTACTCTTAATTCCACCTCTGCTCCAAAATTCAACAAAGTGATTGCTGAGTATCATTATGAGTTCAATTTCTTTACTTCATAACAGACTGACTGAAATGTAATTTATAGATAAAGCTATGATAGCATACCACCAATGTCAAAGAAGTCACTTAGGAACATAAACCATCTGAAGCGAGTTCCAAAACAACACTGAAGGGTAAATCAAAACAATGCAAAAATTCACAGTTAAATAATGCATTAAATCATGATTATCTTGAAGGATTACACCCTCGTTTTTGCTTTCTTGGTCCCAACGTAGCAAGGTCTGCTTACTGCACTGAAAAAAAATAATCCTTTCTTTACCACAGATGATACATCTGTGAGTATAGAAAGCTACTCTACAGATAATGTGGGAACTGGGTTATCAGTCATGGTCCCATGTTACAGTTAATATCAATTAAAAAGCATAATTAATTGTTGTGAAGTTAATGGGTGAAGAAATCTCTTTACAAAAGAAGTTTCATGTCCCCTTTTTTCTTTTTTTTTTTAGAAAAACATCATACGTAAAGGCCTGGGTAAAAAAACCTGAACATAATAGTGCATATCCTACACAATCACCTTTGCTTAGTTACCCTGCAGAGCTTTTGATCTTCAAATGACAAAAACATCACAGAAACCAAAGTAGAATGGAACATGAATGGAAACAGGTCCTGACAAGCACAGGTTCAAGCGCTGCAGGAAACACAAGACTACTCTTTAGTACTATTTGGAAGAAAGTCATGATATTCAGTCCATCTTCCTAGCCCTGAAAGTAGACTCTTTTTTATCTGCTTGGCAGCACCTCCTGACCTTTTCAGCAGCATATTTGCCTCGCAGTATATGGAGAGAGGATCGTATACGGTAATGCTTCCTATAAAATTGGTATTACAGAACATCAGAAATAGAGGTCAGGTGAGAAGACCAAATTCTACTCGTCCTGTTCTCCCTATGCTTCCCATCCAACTTTCTTCATGTAATTCCAGTCACTGTATTACCTACAGTGACCTGATTCTCTACATTCCTTCCCATGCTGGAAGGACACAAGTCAATCATACCACAGTTTGTTGTGTGTGCACCCATCATCAGCGCACTTCTACATAAGCTCATATAGAGCCTATCGTGAGCTTAATCCAGCCCCCACTGGCTATAAATGGCTTTGATCCAGCCTCAATTTTGAGAAAACAAGGGGCACAACTAAATAGAGGAAGCACCTTGTACTTCAAAATTATCAGGTAAATACTGAAATAAAACCTCTGTACCATCAGTATAGCTGATAAAGGGCTTTACTTAGATCATCTGTTCCCCTCTTTTAACTATCTAGATAGTTTAAGACCCTTCAACACTGGCATACATACATCTAAGTTATTGAGGGTGTTGAACTCCATTAAATCATGAAGCCTCTTGAAAGCCTCATTGGGATACTGGAAGTTGAAGGTAGAGAATGGTGTATTAGGATCATCAAAAATGTCAAAGTCAGCAAAGTCCTTCTCTTCCTTTGTCTCTCTTGGAAGACCTGCATACAAAAGCAAAACACAAACACAATCTAAGACTTACCATCTTACTTTTTAAGGGTTTTTTGGAAGTCCTAATCATAACAGTCCTAAACATAACAGACACTTCAAAGACAAAAAAATTTCTGGCCTCTAATCACTTCGCCATGAAACATTTTTAAAGGAACAGCTAGATACAGCATCCCAAACAATTTGCTCACCTGGAGCTTTGTACTTCCGGAAGTTGATGTTTGCCAGTACAAAATGGATTATAGTTGGGCAATCCTTCTCTGAAGAGGTATCCTTTGGTTTAAAAACATAGCACTCCTTCAAGCCCTCTCGATCAAAAACATTTGGATCTATTTTTGGGAAAGGAAGCTTGTTCATTTTGGCCCATTTTTCAGCAAGTAAAATTTCCTGAAAAGAAACAAGATGCATATAAGCACTCATTGAAAAGTAGGATTTTTCTTTAGAAGGATGCAGTTCAACCAGATGTCAGTTCTAGAAGCAATTTTATTAACTCATACTTCTTTACTGCAGAAGAACTAATCAAGCTGATCTTTGTACAGAAGACCCAGTACAGCAAACCGAGCAGCTAACTCAGTCTGCCCAATCCTCATCACCTGGGATGATTCACAGGAAGGAAAGAATTGGTCTGTCAAATAAATCTTCATTTGAATTTACAGAGTTGACAGGTAGGAAAAAAACATTTGTAATTTTACTTGCAAACTGAGTATCAGCACTATGGAAACCAGTGAGAGTTAATAAACACAAGTCCACGCATTGTTATGTTCCCAGTCACATCACAACACGGGAGCATTTGAAAGCATGCTAAGCAAAAGAGTCTAGAAAACAGTCTTTTTTTCCTTCTAACAAGTCAGTAAACAAAATAATTTGCAAATAATGACTCAAAAGCATTTAACGAGGGTGTGTGAAAGGGAGGGGAAGGAGAATCAACATATTCAGTCTTGGTTTTAAATGAAATAGGACCTTTCTTGGAGCAAATGTTTTGGATACACAAGAGATTAAGAGACAGTGGGTATAAAATGATAAAACAATAAAACAAGTGTGGAGCCACTGACTTCAGCTGGCTGATTTTCCAATGTGGTAGAGTACTAAAAGCGTATCAGAGCGCTACCATAGACAGAACAAGCCCAACTGTTAAACTGACATCTACTCTTCATAGCACTGTGCACAGCCAGTAAACAAAACCTGTTCCTGTCCTTTAGGCCATTATCATGCAACCTCTGCCTCTATGTGGTGGGCTCTATGCGCATTAGCTAGAGGTACATCACTATTTTTATTATACACATATTGGTGCTTCAGGAACAAATGAATCATTCCCTTCAACAGCAGCTTTACCATTTACCACTAAAATCCCAAGGCATCATTTAATTTTCTCACTGTCCTTTCTTTTGTAAAATGAGTTCACCTTTTCAAACTTAGAGTTTATAGAAAAACTTTCAGGACACCATCCAGATATGTTCACCAAAACGGCACAGAAAACTGCAACGGATTGAGATAGAAGGCTCAATGCATAGGAAAAGTAATAGAAACAACTACGTAGAGCCTTCTACGTAGGCCCCATGTGCAGAACATAAAAAAGAGTGTAATAAATGTTTCAGAGGAGATGACAGAATTGTATCAGTAAATCCAGCTGATATGGAAGGTAGTCATGACAAATTAGGAAAGAAATTTTTAAATGAATAAATACTTAGAGGAAGAAAGACGATTCTGGGATTGAATCAAAATGAAAGGTCCTGGCACTACTCCAGTTCCTCTCAGAGTTCTACTCTTTCCAGCATCCCCCAAGACACCTGGAGATTATGAAGTTATTCTTTTCTAGTCCTTTTGCTTTTCTTTGCATTTGAAAACTGTGATCTTAACGTTGTTCTGAGGTTTCGTTCCTTGATAGTCAGAAGGAAAAAAAAAGCTCTTTCTTTGTTCTAATTAAAAATTGCCTGTACACTAACAAAGAACACCAGGTGTTCCTCAATTAGCATGCTTTCTTGGTTTCCTTAAAACTTATTTATTAAAATTCACTCGGGTTTCAAATAAATGTTCCCTATTCTTTAAGACCCTCACAATAGACTATGAAGTGCTGCTGTTTCTTTATCAGCTATCAAATCATTCAACATTAACCTTTTTTGATCAGCTGCAGCTGTCTGGATGCAGAACTTGTACAGACTGTGTGGCCTAACAGCCATGCTTTCTACACCTGCTAAAGAAAGTAAGCAGGTGTATTTATTCTGTATTTAATCTGTACTTTTCTGTGGTTTTTGCTTTGGCATGAACACATTTAGGCATACTACTTAAAACAGCACAGGGATTATCCTAGAGAGATGAAAATGAACAGTTAGTTTCATTTACAAAATGTTATACATTTAGCAATACCAGAGTAGCTGAGTGAAAACCTGTTTTGACAAGGCGATGACAGAAAAACATTAGTTTGCATCACAGAAGAGAACAGCTGTACAGATCTAAAAGCACAACAGTAAACTTAACTTTTAACTACTGATATAAAATCAGCAATTCAGCATGACAGCAAGACTTTCATAAAAAGCAACACAGCTACTACTCTAAATAGTGGTTTGCAGAGATGCAAATTACATTCTTCTACTTTGTGTCACTTGTCTTGTGTAAGTCATGTAAACAGGAACTGAGGCAGAGTGGAATATTCTGCCTTGGTTTGGAAACAAATTGCTTTAATGCTGCAGACAGACAGAATTGCCAGCGTTAAGTGAGCAACCAGTTCAACTAGAAAAATAAAATTTAACTTAAATTTATTAATGCAAATAAGAGAATACCCTATCTTACTTACTTTGAAAGGCGGACTGGAATCACTTGGCCTTGCTGAAAAATCGAAAGAGATGATGAGATCAACTCCTCTTTGAGGTCTTAGGATAAGTGGATATGGAAGGTTAAATGTAAGACCACTGTCCACAATGTGAATCTTTTTGCTCTTCACATCTAGTGGCTCATATATCCTCTCAAACTCATCAGGATCTATGCAGAACAAATGAAAACAAAACAAAACAGGAACACATCAATCAATTAAAAACTGCAATTTTGATGGAGTTTTTAATGTTTCCCCAAGTAATGAAGAATCTAGAAACTTTAAAATGCTCAGTATTCCAGCTAATCATTAAAAGAACACATATATCACCTTAAATCTCATCAACTAGAGAAGCAGAAAAAGAAACAGGTGGGATGGTCCCAATAGGTCATGTGCAGCAACTCCCTGCCTCAAGGCAGAAGCAGAAGTGGCTCAAGGTGTAACTGGTGAGGACAGATGCCCAGCTTTATCCCTGGCCTTACTAGCTTTATCCTTTAACCCAACAACACAAGACACAAAGGAAAGTGTTTGTGGGATGCCAAGATAGAATCCTAAAGTATATCCCATGCCCTACAATTCCTGCCTAGCTTCTCCCCAAGTTTCTCACCTAAACCTTCTGTTCTTTCCAGCTCCTCTTCACCCAAATAACTGGAATTTGCCCACAGAGCTTCAAAGTGGATCTGCTCTGGGGCACTGCTTGTCTCTGTCTGTTCCTGACTGCTCAGGATAACAAGTCAAACAACTTGCTTCTCAACCCACTCCAAACCTCATGACCTCATTACTGTAACCCATATTCACATCTGAAATTAAGCAGTGGACAGAATTAGCTACTTACTGTCATTATAAAATAGTTCCTACGCCTAATGTTTTCAAACTAGACAACCTAATTTAAGATTCCTTCTGAGTCAAGTCATTCCATCGATGTCCAAATGGAAGGCTGAGGAAAATGATGTTTTCCTTTCAATCCCAATATTCTCTGGGTGCCACTCAGGAAAACCAAGTGAGTTTTGGCGGGTGTTTTTGTGCTATCCAATCCTCTGGATACTGTTAAACCATCCCTGTAAGTAGGTAAAAATTTGCTCCTGACAATTATTTCTAGCTCCAGATTTTAAAAGTATTTCTGATTCATGGTTTAGCTTTTTAACTAAAAACAAATTACAATATCTATAGAGGGCAGTGTAATCTAAGTAATGCTGAATAGAATGCTGCAACTATTTCTTGTATGACTAAATTTACAATCATCTACCTATTAGTGGTAGAAATTATCTGAAAGAAAAATATTTTAACGTGAAAAAAAGATCAAATCTGATTCAAATTCCAGTTTGAAAGAACAAACTTCTTTCTTCATTTCAAGATCCATGAGAAAAAAATATTGCTATGAGCAGCAAAACATTTATAATATTTTTTTAGTTCTGTTATTATTATTCCCTAAACTGCAGTTGGATAAAAAATGATTAAAAAAATGACTCACCAGTTTCCTCATATTTGCTCTGATTCCTATAAAAAACATCTTCAAATTACTGCTTGGTGCTAAAGAGCTGAATAAGAGACTTATTTGAAAAACAGGTATATTTCATACCTGTTAATCAGCATAAATCAATGAAATTATATTAGAATTTATCAAATTACTTATGATCCAATATTTGCCATTGAAAAGACACACTTACTACACACACCTCTAGCACAATTAAAACAGTTCTGATCTCCCTCTCCTTTTTTGAAGACTGTATTTCAAACAATCTAAAATTATTCATTTTAAACCTTTGTTCTTGCTAGAATTCCCAAAAATTGAAAAAACATCTTTGGTCAAGTTTTGTATTAGATTTTTTTTTAATAAAACTTGAGTTTGAAGCCAAATCAAGTTAACGGTGATCTTTTAAATTAAGTTTGTACCACCTCCTGTATTTTTTTATGCTACTGCATACATAAATCCCCTACCAAAAACAAGACAGCTCTATGGAGACAGTGTTCGGGATACTATTTTCCAACTTATCATAACGTAATTTTTAAGATACTTAATAGGATAAAGCATTGTAACATCATCACTGAATTTATAACGACCACACGGATTGTTATCATTATTCATGGACTCCTGTAATAACAGGAGAAATTCAATTTTAGAGCTTTTTTTTTTTTTTTATCACAGTATCTTTTAGAAGTAAATCTAGTTTTTGAACTGAGAAGAAAAGTTCCAAAACATAACCTACGTCCATGCTGTGTGTCCAGAATTAAAAACGCAGTGAAGATTATCCAGTAGTTATTTTAACGTCCTGAACTTAAGGGCAGACTCAGCATGTAGTTTGGTTGGATTTACATGATGGAGATGGAGGCCAGCAGTAGAACCAGTGAGGTAAGACAAGCAGCCAGACTGAACCATGCTGAATGAAGCACTGCTTACTTTATACCCTATGCTGCAGTTATTTTAAAGGGCTGGATAAGAAACCTTTATTCCATTTATATTTTACAACACGCGCTCCCAGGACTATCACACCACGTACTCCAGTAGCCCCACTACGTCAGCCCACCATTATGAACCAGAGTGAAGGCTGAAATAATATTTATGCTTTGAGAGCCTAGGATGTGAATTTTCAGATCAGGCAGACTGCTCTTCTGAAAGATGTATCTGTATGAAGAGAAGCTTTCAGGTCATGGAACAGCCAACAGAGAGAAGCACGAAATGCTTGCCTGGTCTGCAGCAATCGGATACACAGCCAGCTTGGAAATAAACAAGAGCTGCTTGGAAATAAAAAAATACTGTGCTCTAGCGACCAAACTTTGTCACAGATGGCAGCTTCAATGAAAGTAAGGAGGATGAAAAGGGCATTCGCTATTGACGTGCATTTACTATAGCAGAGTTTCCATAAATAATGAAGCAAGGAAGTGGAGATTATAAGTAAGGAAGTGGAAATTGTAAGTTTTTTTTTTTTTCCCCTATTGTTATTCATATGGCATTTTCTCAAGGAATTTTGGTGTGTTGTAATATTAAGGCACAGAAATAAAACAACTCTGAATTCACAATGAAACTGCTCAAGAAATGTAAACTTTGAAGCATATTTGTAGTCAGTTAAGAAAACTCTCAGTACAAATGGAATCCGCAGCAAAATGATGCCAAGTATTTTCATTATATAAGCTGGGGATGTAATCACCAAAGAGACAGAATTCACAAAGTAGAGCACACACATGAAAAAAAACAAAATCACAATACAGTTCAAATACAGGTGCTAGACTGGCATTTTCACCAATTTATAACTCTTAATGAGCCCACTGCAAGAGCAGTTTTGTCATGTACACTCTCTGCTTCAGTGCTTAAGGAGTTAGATGCTGGCCCACTGACTTAGGCAGCAGTAATCCCACTGATTGTCACAAGAACAGAATCTGGTCTGTAGGAGTGTTTCTTTCTAAGCAGACTGCACACCCATGCTGAACTCCCAGAGCATGAGTCTGTGAAAGGCTGGAGATGTAAAACATTACTTCTTGATTCATTTACTTTTCTGTTCATACACATTTTGATTCATTTACTTTTCTGTTTGGGGTTAATAAAAGCGAAGTTTAAGAAATCCAGACTTCTCTGTACTCAAGCTGCTAGGAAAATTCTTACTGATAGGAATAAATATGCAGTGCTTAAATGCAACCAGTGCCATGGTAATACATGGTTCAAATTTATTCCTAAGTTTCTTTTCTATCTATTCCTCTGGATTCCCAGGTTCTTACAGCTATTAGCAAAATTCACCAGCAGCATTAAAAAGTGGATACGTTCTGCATTACTGAATGATTAATTTTTAGATTAACTGCTGACATTTTGTGCTTTGTTTTGGCTTTTTATTACTCCTGGCTACACTGGAGCCATTCACAGATGTTAGATTTTTAGTTGTTAATTTAGGTTTATGAGCCTGGGCTCCCAAAAAACACTAAAAACTTGCAGCTATAGCAAACTTCCACCACACATTTTAGCCCAAGAATTTTCAGGTGACAGACAGTCAAGTAATTGCCTCGAAGAAACAGACTCATTCTGTCAAGCCTGCATTTTACTTCAACTGAAATTAAAATCCAGGAAGCTGATAGTTGATATTGAAGATTATCCATGTGTCTTAATTATGCAAAATTCTCATCAACTGTCACTTTTTCCAACCGTAAGTTTACTACCCGCTTTCCTGCCTCTTTTAGAACCACTATAAATATTAAGATTACCCAGTTGTAAACACCTCTGAGATGGTAGTAATATTTAGAAAGTGGAGTCCAGATGGAAATTACTATACAACCACTCAAAGGGATTTGTTACATTAACAAATACACATTAGACAGCGCCTGCTCCTTAAGCTTTTAAACGACATCTGGTATTTACTATTGCCTAATGACTGACTGAGACAATCTATTTCCTCTGGATAGAAAATAGGGACTGAAGTGACTGTTATAACATGGGATGGTTGACAGTGCTGTGCTGCCACACAAGAACATGGAAGGAACAGAGAATGGCAGCTCCTTGACTTGAAAGATGTCAATAATAATCTACAAGCATTGCAGTTTGTACCACAGAAACTCCGCACTGTATCTTGACTGTGACTTAACTTCTCTATAGGGAAAACCACATCCATAACGCAGCGCTCTGTTGTCTACTAAGCAAGAAAAAAAGTGCACCAGAGACAAAAGAAAACTCAGAAATTCAGAGGATTTCACTGAGCAGAGCGTAATTAACACTGCCAATAGGAAGTCTTTCAAATGCTAATTAAATGTGATACCTAATTCTCTACACCTACTGTCCTATTCACCATGCAGTTCATGCAGAGGGGTGGGGAAAGGCACTGAACAACTTCTGCAAATTGATTTTTTTCTTAAATTCAAGTTTGCCACCAGCATGCTTGCTTCCTGCTTATGACAAGATGAAATTGGGTATAGAAGGACCCTGATGAGGTTTAATAAGAGCAAGTGTAGAGTCTTGTACCTGGGCAGGAATAACTGCATGTATCAGTACAGGTTGGGGGCTGACCTGCTGGAGAGGAGCTCAGGAGAAGGGTCTGGATGTCCTGCTGGACAACAGGTTGGCCATGAGCCAGCAGTGTGCCCTGGGGGCCAAGAAGGCCAATGCTGTCCTGCAATGCATTAAAAAGAGCGTGGCCAGCAGGTTGAAGGAGGTGATCCTCCCCCTCTGCTCTATCCTGGTGAGGCCACACAGACCATGGGCTCCCCTGTACAAAATAGACAGGGACCTCCAACAAGGAGTCCAGTGGAGGACCACAAAGATGATGAAGGGCCTGAAGCATCTCCTGTGTGAGGAAATTCTGAAAGACCAGGGTCTGTTTAGCAAGGGGAAAACAAGTTTGGAGGGGGGAGAGGTGGGATCAGATGAACATTAATAAATATCTAAAGGGAGGTGGGAGGAAAACGGATGAGGCCAGGCTCTTCTCAGTGGTATGTAGCAATAGGACAAGGAGTAATGGCCTAAAACTTGAACTTGAAAGATCTGTACTAACATGCAGACAAACTTCTTTGCAGTGACGGAGCACTGGAACAAGTTGCCCAGAGAGGTTGTGGAGTCTCCTTCTATGAAGCCCCTTCTATTCAAGCCCCATCTGGATGCTGACCTGTGCCACCTATTGTAGGGTGCCTGCTTTCGCAAGGGGTTTGGACTCAGCGATCTCTTATGGTCCCTTCCAACCCCTGAGACTGTGAAATGCAGATGCGTCTGACAGATCAGTCACACTGGGAGGAACATGGAGTCAGGAAGGCAAGGATGTTCAACTAAAGAAGTGCACTGCCTCCACAGGATTGTCAGAGGAAAACAAAAGTGTCAGAAGCTACAGAAAAGCTGTAGAAGGATAAGGAGAGGTTCTCCTTCCATCCAAAGGCTTAGCCTGTGAAAAGAACACAGACCATCCCTTGGAGCAGCCCAAGTGAGTAAGAAGCAGCCTTAATGAAGAGTGCCACACACAAAAATGGCTTGATCCCCTCTGTCAGCATCTCCTTGAAAACAAAGCCAAAATGGTAGCAGTTGTGCTGCAGAGCTTGTCAGGGGATTCAGGAAGTAGGTGGCAGGCAAAACTGTTGTGCAGTGCCTTTTGTGACTCCCAGTCATCTGACAACCTTCGGTGCTGGTCAGTACTCATGACTGCTTATAGAGAAATGTTGTCCCACCTTTGTTCAAGAGCAGTTGTAAGCCCTGTAGTTTGAGTAAATGTTACCATATTGAAGAACACAGTTTAATCAATGAATATGCAGCAACACAGGCTTTCTGCAAACTAACCTGCAACGGCTGCATCAAGTTCATCTTCTTCCACAGATTCCTGAGTCAGGAGGTCTGCCAGAGGAGACAGTGGGTAACAGCTGTTGAGGTTCAATCCCAGCATGAAGTTGTGCACTTTCCCAGCACGTCCTTCCCTGGTATTGAAAAGGGCACTATCACCCACCAAAGCCATCAGCATTCGCTGCACCCAGCTTTCTTGGCTGCTGTTCTGATACTCTTCATTTGCCTCTGAATTTTCAGTGCCTTTAGAGGACAAAGGAAAAAATTCAGTGGTAAGCTAATTAACATGTGAAGTATTAATCCAAAATTTCTGGGTCTTTTGAAATAAAATACCAATTAAAATAAGCAGAACTAGGCCACTGCCTTCTTTCAAAGAGCCACAGACTGAATGAAGGAGCTTATGGAGAGAATGGATAGAAATCATCCTGTCACCTTTACAAGCCAGCGAATGTTCTCATTTGCACTATAGCAGTGTGGATATATCCAACAGGAAAACGTGCTGGGACTATGTTAGATGACCTGAGCTGTATTTTAGCTAGTCTGGATGGCAAAGGCAAGAAAAATATGACTTTATCTGTCCTAGACTCAGGTGAGAAACTTGAGTCACCAATATCTGTATACTGTAGACTCAAATTCATCTGGATGTATATTGATACCTCTTTCATCCTTTGCTGACTGCTAGAAATCCAGCTTTCCTTAAGGAACCAGAGCTAGGCCTCTGAATCTTCATAAAATCTTTGTTTGGTTCTCCTGAGCACATCCCTTTACTGTGCCACTGGAAAATACCAAGGTTTGTCCACCTTTCTCAGGTGGAGATACAGTATTTATACTGGCTCTGGGTGGTCTGCTCAAATAGAGGTCATTTCCATTTTACTTAACTGCAGACAATCTCAGAGTTAGATGTATTCCTCACAGTCACAGTGGATACGGAAGTATGCATAAAGTTGTAGATATCAGATATAAATTCTGTGATATCTGCATAAATGAGAATGCTATCACACAGAAATTCTAAAATATCTGAAAAAAGATAAGTTCACTAGAGACAATAATCAATATTTAATTTTACTTAAGAAGTACAATGAAATGTCCAGTCTTAAATATCTACAACTAGATGTTATAAATGCTAAAATGACTTGGACTGGTGTGACCATTTATAACCTGCCATAACACAGCTTTTCCATTGCTTTGTACATTGAGATCACTCAAGCTCAGGCTCTTTAAACAAGAAGAGAGATAACAAACATCAAACACTACGGAGTTCTGAGGTCCAATATCCATAGAAAAATATCCTATAGAAGATGAGCAAGTGCACACAGCACAGATCTGTAGGTTGTCCTCCACTATGGCTACAAACTGTGAAAAAAATGTAGTGTTTCTTGCTGGCTTAAATAAGAGCTTCTAGTACTTAAACAGGAAATCTGCAGCATAAAAAGTGATATCACCCTTCCCTGTTATTTTACACATAAGGGAAATGAAGAAGCAATCATTCAGCTCAGCTAATGACCCAATCAAAGGCTCAAGATTTCACAAGGTTTTCTTTTCTTCCTGCAGACTTTAAAATTACAAACGAGCACACGGAGCCACATTCCCATTCTTGCCTAAGTTGTTAAAAAAATAACTGAATTCTTCAGATGAAAATCACTATTATCCCTGTATCATCATGTACAGAAAATGTTATTAGGATAAGACCGGATCCTGGACTGAAATCTCACACATCCTCAGGTGGTTCAGATGCCTGAATTTTTTCAGTAGGATCTTTTCTTACCGCATGTGGTTGTGCCTGTTCTGGGAAACTGGATTTGGGCACTGTTTAAAGCACTACGCCAACCACTAGGAATTTCCTGTACCAGATATTGTTTGTACAGGTGCTGGAAGATATCTATGAACACTGGAAACACAAAGTAAACCATTCACAAGTAAATATTTGATAAGGAGCCCTTCATAACAATGAGTAGTACTAGTTTGCTATGCTGATAACAATTCAAGCACGCCTCTGAGCTCCATTGCTTGCTGAACTTCAGGAGATCACTGGCTCAGAGAGTCTGATTTTTGGATGTACGTGAAAGTGCAAATCACTGTGAAGCCTTGGTGGGTGGATGCTAAGACTGAAGGCATGCAAGAGAGTCATTTACTCACTGACCTGAGCAGGAGACACAAGGTCAAGCCAAAGGCTTTCTCAGGGCTTTTGATCAAGACATCTTTGTTTTCCTGAGCCACTGGCTCCTTTAAAACCCTTCTGCTAAATAGTTAAGTTTTATCATTGTTATCACTTGCAAGAGGCTGATAAGACTAAGGAAAATGGGATTTGACAACATCCTTTAAATTTGAATATGTTACAAGAAAGCTGATGAAGAAAGTAAAGTATGAAATAAAATGTGTTGATTTCCTTACCTTTTGGATGCTGTGATTCATCTTCACTGTCTGAGCTGTCATTACTTACAAGGTGCTTTAGTCTAATATTTTCTGTTAAAGAAATACAAAATTACTTTGAACTACTACAGCTTAACTGTAGCTTAAGGATAGCTAAGAATTTCAAACCAATTTGAGGCATAAAACTGTGATATTTTTCATAATAGAGAACACAGCTAAGAAATTTAATCTGTTGTGGACATCTCTATGTTCAGAATCTGATCAGAATACATTGCCGTTAGCTTGCAATTTTTGCCAAGCTCCTGAAATAAGCAGATTAACCAAAAGGTTGGAAAAAAGAAAAAAAAAAAAAACAACAACAAAAGGAAAACCTAAAGCAGTACACACTATCTGCTGTTGCATCACATTTGACACATTCAGCTGAAGTAAAATTCAGATGTATAGCTTCAATTGTCTCAGTAACTCCTAGCAAACTAGGAAGACAACAGGAGATCTCTTAATCCACTGCTAATATTCAAACAGAGGAACACTGCTGCAGCTCAGAGAGCACTGGGACACTGCTCTCAGAAGTAGAGTTTGGGTTTTGGGTGGTCCTCTGTGAAGCCAATGACTGAACTCTGTGATCTGTGGGGGTCACTTCCAACTTGGAATATTCTATCATAATATTCTATGATGGTACATTCATATTTTAGGTTGTCATTTCCACCATATGCCATATTAAAGCAATGGTAATATCACTCTGTTATTTTACCTCAAGGTTAAAATCTATTTCCTGTAAGTATATAGACTGGAGAGAGATTTACCATAATGCCAACTGTAAAAAAAAAATACAGCTTTATTAATCTCTGTAAAGAATAACAAATACAGATGACTACCATTGTTGCTTTTTTCTGAAGATATATGTAGCTATATAAAATCACATAACAAAACAAAAGAGCTCTCGTCATCATGGATTTTTCCTTAAATACTTTCTAATACTCAGGGATCCTCAATCACTATCCAAAAAACGCCAATAAAATACAACACACATACCAAAGACAAACATGTACAAATTCTAAAGCCACGTCACACAAAACAGTTGAAAATTCAATATCAGTGATTAAAAAGGAAGATAACAAAAATAACATATCCAGTTTTAGGACATTACATCATCTCTGTAAAGCAAACCTTAAGAAAAAGTGCTTGTTTGCTGCTGCTAAGTATGACTAACAGATTCTCTGTACAACCGTGGCTCTTCTGATGCCTGCTGGCATTTTGCCATACACTCTAGAGGTACTGAGGTACTGGGACATCTGCAGCTCTGGTAACAGATTGTGGTTCTCCTCTAACCAGTATTTTAACATCTTAGAGTACACTTTTTAAATTACATGTGAAATAAATACAGATGTTAGCCAGTGGTAGGAGATAACAATCAGTATCTCAACATCATAAGCAATTACATAAACCCTTCTAGTAGCAAATTCATTAACAGACACCCTCCTTGGTTGTTAACGCTCATGATATGTGCGAGGTATATGAACCTGAAGGCACAGGTCCCATTTTCTTCCATAAAGAAGTACAGTATCAAATAGCTAAGTAACATCTATTAGAAGAGAGATACAGCTGAGGGGCTTAAGGATTTGGTTTTTAATCATCTTCAACTTCATTCTAAAAAAAATGATCTGTCTATTGCTTTAGATAAATTTCCCTGTAATGCCTTCTTAATAGGAAAAAAAGTGTTAAAAAGCTGTTTCCTTATCAACAGCATTCTCAAATAGCAGTCTAACCCAAGCAAACTACAATTCTTTTGTTACGCTTATTTTGCCATATGTACATTAGGAATGGAAACAGAATCACCAAATTATTAAGTGAAGGATCAGAAACCAGCAGCTGATTTGTGATTAGAAATAAGTAATCTAACAATTCAGAAATGATAAAACTTATGTTTACTCAACTAATTTCTAGAGTAATGCAGCACTATGTCAAGAGATTATAAAAGCAACTATACAGCACTTGTCATCTTTCAATCTGTAAAAACTAGCAGAAGAGTGGTAGAATCTTACACCTCTATGAAAATATTAGGTAGACATATGCATGTGATGTTCATCTGACACTGATCAGAAAAGAAAGTGAAAGTAAGAAAAGTTCTAGTTTTCTTTCCCTACCCTCTCTAGGATCCAGCAATGTCAGCAGTTCAAACTGCTTGCATTACACATCCTTACAGTCACTACCAACAATGCGCCATCTTTCTTCAGAGAGTCCACTGAATCTTGTTAGGAACTGTTCTGCTTAATGGTATAATTATTTACGAAAGTTACCTAGTTCTTCTTCCATGGTGGGACCTTTGTTTTGAGAATTGGAGACACCGAGCACTCTGTTAAATAATATAGAAAACGCGCTGCCCCAGACACCTGTAAAGTGAAAACAAAAAATGAATGGAGGCTGGTAGAAGAAGAAAAAAGAAATAATAAAAACAAAAGCCAACCACATACTACAATATTTAAGTAGTTGCTTTCATTCCGAACAGACTTGTGATTATGGAACACATTATGTCAAACCGAGATTTACCAGAAACCCAAAGCTAGGAAATGACAATCCACACCTGTGAAATCTTCCAAATGTTTGTCTTCTCACCAACTACAATGGTACTTCTTGCTTCCCATATTTTGTGCTTGTTTTTATAAGCATCTGTTAATGAACTATTAAAATTAGTTTCAAGTTTCCTTCCATCACGTACTTACCCATCAAGAAATGCAAAGGATTTTCACTGTATTTCTTCACCACTGTTCCCATAAAAAATTTGCTTCCAAACAAATCAGGAGACATAAAAGTGCCATACTTTGCCATACCGATTTCATACGGACTGAATTCCACCCAGTCTGCAAAATAAGAAATTTGCATCACAATCTCAATCTGAATAGAAACAGAGGATGTTCACACATAAATGCTGAGGCTCCCATCCAAGGCAACAAATATGAATTAAATTGGCTCTGAACCACCAGTAATGTCTCTTACATCGTGCAGATTTGAACATTTTGTTTGCAAATGAAGAACAGCCTTACGTCACAGCAAAGGAAGAATTGCCATTTCCATTCCCTCTTATTACAGCAATATTTGGAGGAGAAATATAAGGTTGGAAGAACGAAAGGAAAAAAACAGCAAACACAAAATGTCATCTTGTTTTCATCTCTCAGTCCCATATGATTCCTTGTTACATAAAGCACCAATATGGATCTTAGTTCCAGGTTTCTTTTCCTTCACTGTGATCCCATCAAATATGCTATCCAAATTGTGGATGACAGCAACAAAGGCAAAAGAAAAATTATTTAACATGGCAAGAAAGAGTGTGATGTTGTGAAGGATTATAGCAGAGGCATTAAGGTTACACCAAAAATGTTTTCTTAGAAACGCAACAAGATAAGTCAAAGCCGAGAGGCACTTCAGAAAGTTACTAGTATCAAACTATGTTAATATTTTTTTGATATATACACTAACTTGACAAAGATTCATTCAAACACAAAGCAAAATATTCCAGAGCATTTTCTGACCTCAGAAGAAAATTCCAGAAGTGATTTACATTCTACAGCTTATGTCTCTAGAAAATGTATTTTAGTTGATTTTGAACTATTGTTTTTGTACAAGTGGAACTGTTTCTATTAGAGAATTTCCTTCATCTTTGAGCAAAAGTAAATAAAAAATACCTTACATTTTCACTACTTTAGTCATCTGCTTTATCTTGGAGATTTTTAGTAGTGATCAATTTGGTCACTCATGTAATTATAGATTAGAAACAACCCTGAAGCAAAAAGTCAAAAGAAAGAGTTTTCAGAAATCCCCACAGATCACAGGATGCTATCCACTCATGCAGGTATTCAATGTTTCATTTGAAACAGTAAGAGGAAAGTTAACCATCTGTCCCCAAATGGAAAGATTTAATCATGACTGCTATGAGTTTCGTTTCGTGGGGCAATGCTTAACTACATGAGTCAAGCATCCTACTTTCCAAATAAACCACCACAAATAAATTTTCAGTTATTAGAACAAAAGGAAATTCCTTTAAAGATCCAGTCCAGGAACTTAAAGCTATTTGCCTTTCATGTCACCAACAAGCTTTGGAAGGTACGTATTTCAGAATCATGCTGGTAGAGAAACAAGTTAGAATTAGAATTAACTTAAATCTGTGATTGTCTGCTTTCATTTTTCTATTTACACTAATGATGATTTCTGAAAACATACTCTATTCACAGAAATAAGGCAACTGTCTTAAAACCTTAGCTTCTACTGCCATTCCTGAAGCTCCCTGAGACAACAGCCACTCAAATCGGTGTCCCAAGAGAGAAGTCTCACACTGAAAGACAGAGAGTGAGAATGGAACCTGATACCATGAGAAACACTTAGGTGTTTCTAGGAGTTTCCCTGTCAAGTGGGTTAGTTCCTCATCTGTGGCTTGTTCCAAAATGTACCAATGTCAGAAGTCCTCCACTCCTCTCTGGATATCACTGGATATCAGTATCTTTTTATCATTTAGGAAGACAGCTTAATTAAAAAAAAAAGTAATAAAAAGTAATTTAAGAAGCAGTCTTCAACTAGATCACTGTAATTATGTTCAGTTACAGCGATTACTGCAGTTCTGGGTACAGCCAGCGCTGCCAGGGTCAGGAGTTCTGGGAAAGCATGCAGAGCCTGGGGCATGAGGGCAATTATCAGCTGCAGGAAATCTTGCACCATCACTCCTCCAAGGAACCTTACCTGATGTAACTAATGTATCTCAACTCTGAAACAACATGAAAGATCTCACCTATGTCTATGCAGTTGATCTAAAATACACTCTATTTGTCTTTCTGATTTACTTGGTAATAGGGACAGGAAAAGATGCACCTTACAAGACAAGCAAAACCTCAGCTCCGGGCTATGCCATAAGGAATAGAAGTATTCAACATCTCTTCTCAAAGCTGCTTTGCTCTGATAGACTGCGTCCACATACTGACCCCAGCAACCAAGTACACACCTAAGGACGTGCTCACTGATCCTTGCAGATTCTACTGTCAGATTCCCAGCAGCCACTGAGCACAAACATGTCTATTTCGTCAACATCTCTCCTAACAGTCAGAACTGTTATGATTATGTTTTGCTTTGGTACATTCTTTATCACAGGTTCCTATTCTTGTTTTAAACGAGAACTCTCTGTAGTCAGTTCATAGCACTGTGAATTCCTGATAAATTCAAAAGAATGTTTAATAAAATGGCAGGTTCTTACCTAGTCCTTGCCACAAGGAAAATGAAGTGCATTCAAGTAACACGACACAATTATTCTCAGAAGTTAGAAAAAAAAACCAAACAGGCTTTTCCTTTTTTTACTCATGCACTTCTCATTCCTGGTTACAAATGATTACGCGGACAGATTGAAAACATACCTGCAAACATAAGCTCTGAGACATCTGGTTTGACGTGGAGACATGTAAAGAGTGGAAGAGCACACTGTGCTTCATTGACTTTCTCCTTCATGTCACTCAGAGTGGTGTCCATTCTCTGTGTGAAAAGAAAGAAGTTACATCCAAAGAGATCCTGTGACAGCCTGCTGATACTTTTGGAGACTACTCAATTTCTCTCGAAAATGGACAAAATAATTCCAATAAAACAGAAGAAATTGTAAAAGGAAACAATTTGGTTGAATGTCTTTTATCTGTACAACTCAGAATCACACAGAATCACAGAACAGCCCAAGTTGGAAGGGACCTCAAGGATGATGAATCTCCAACCCCCCTGCCACATGCAGGGCCACCAACCTCCACATTTCATACCAGACCAGGCTGCCCAGGGCCCCGTCCAAGCTGGCCTTGAACACCTCCAGGGATGGACGGGGCGTCCACAGCCTCTCTGGGCAGCTGTTCCAGCACCTCCCCGCTCTCTCTGTAAAGAACTTCCCCCTGACTTCCAACCTACATCTTCCCTCCCTCAATTTAAAACCATTCCCCCTTGTCCTGCTGTTATCCACCCTTTCAAAGACTTGATAAGTCAGGAGGAAAGGGATGGGCAAAGAGTTGATAGAAAGATGATACAAGCATGAGTTATATGAGAGCTACTCAGAAAATAATGCCTCCTATGTTATGCTGTTGGTCCATCACATCAGATGCAGATGTTGGTGGGATGGCAAAAGAGGTTGTACCTTCACACCAAAATCCTGTTACATGTTGTTGCTGTGTGACAGCTGGCAGCACAGGGGCAGTCTGATAGAATAGTGCCTGACATGGATGTATGCATGAAGGAAAGAAGTGGAACTGAAAGCCTCCATGCAGAAAAAAATGGCATCCGCTGACATTCACTGACGCTTGTGAACGTTTAAGGAGGCCAATCAGTGAATGTGAGCACAGTGAGGTGGTGGTGACAGAGATGTGAAAGACAAGTCATGTTCCAGACAGCCATGCAGACTTTTACCATTGTGACACAGAGGCATCACTTCATCACTGGTAAAGATGCACAAGTAATAGTGGTGACATGCTGAAAAAGAGTGTTTTGTAGCTGAGAATTTTCTCTGTCAAACAGTGCCACTGTGCTCTTTGTATCTGTTGTAGATTCCTTGGAAATAAATAGAAGGCTTTACTTTCACTGCAGTCTATGCAGAATCCAAGATAACACAATCACAAAGGAAACAGTACTGTTGGTCAATGCAGGTTCTTCCCTGCTGATACTGCAAACCATTAAAGGAAAAACCTCTCATTCAGAACAGCCACTAACAATCATGTAATGTTTTTCAGTCTGTGCTGCTCCTAGGAACTCAGGAAAAGCTAGGAGAAGCAAACGGACCACTAAGAGGCTAACTAAGGGCCCTGCATCTCCCCCATACCGAGACTGCAGTCAAGAAAAGAACGAAGATAGGACAAGGACTTGATACCTGCAGAAAACCAAGAGCTTTATATTCTTTACTTACTGACAGCGTCAGGTTCAGATTTCAGCTAAACATCTGTGCATTTGCTTAACTCCTTAGCATACAGGGACTTCTAACCAGCCTCACAGGATCATCAACATTCCTTTCTGTGTTGCCTGTTTTTCAGTATTTTAATGTTTAAAACTAACATGTGTACTTATGAAATGAACATGTGCATTAAAAAGTCTGCGAATCTATTAACACATTTCAATCTTACGATAAGATCAAATTCAATTCTGCTTACTTGACTCATTTCAACTTGAAGTCTGTGACTGATTCAGTCAAATAGGATTTGTCAATAATAAAATACAACAGTATGAAACACTGCTATTGTGTCACTTCTCAGAAAAACAATTAGTATTAGAGATGTGGATCTGGTCTTTCACATTGAAAATAATATTTTGTTAAGTAACTGCTGCTTCTCTCCTAGCAGAACGTGTGTAAAGATGTTGCAACATTGCATAACTGTTTGTTGAAAATGCTCGAGCAGCAACTTCTATGGATGATATGCACGCTAAGAGCATGCTGCAATTATCCAGCACTTGAGTTCATTTTCACTGCACATGAATGTATGTTCTCCTAGCTCTTAATGAAACGAGAACCATTCCAAACATACCCCAGAGCACAGAAAGCATTTTACAAGCTTCTTATCCAGTATCTGTTCAGCAGTCACTTCGAATATTCCTATTGCTAAATACGCTTTGCAAAAACTTATCAAGGTAATTTAAAACAAACAAACAAACAAAACAAAACAGCAACAGATCAAACAAGCAGTAGTTTCACAGCTTTAATATTCATTAAAAAAATGCACTCACATTATGAATAAGCGTTTCACCTATAAGCATTCCAAAGATATCAGTAAAGGTGACTGGCTGCCCTGAGCTTTTTTTATTCCACAGTGCTTCAATGTAGCGTTTGACTTTCTGAGGAGTGAGCAGCAGAAGCGGGTTGTGACTGACGGAGTTCATCAATTCTTGATTAATCTCCTTTGGTCCTTTTTCTGGAAAATCCGGGTGTGAATACAAAGTTGACATGTACCTGCAATGGAAAATAGGCTCTCTCAGTGCCAAAGCCTTGTTCACTTGCTGATTACTTTACTCACTGTAAATCTTTTTTTTTTTTTTTTTTCCAAAGTATAGAAAGCTACAGAATTTGTTGTAAGTGGAAACACACAAGCAAGTACTCAACAAACACTTCCATGGTATTTACAATGTAAAATTCTAATGTGTTTATCATTTACCTGCTTAAGTGATAGTGGACAGAATTGCAGAAGGCAGAAAAACAGGAGGACTGGATATTCTATGGGTATATACAGATTCAAAAAACCCTAAAATATACCAGTGTGCTCGCATACTTTCCAGGATGTAGATGTTTTCATAATAGGATGAAGCATAATAACTACAACCTGTGCAGGGATTTAACTGGGGATTTAGTAAAGGCCTATCGGGCACACTGTAATTTTGTCATTGAGTAACTCTGGAAACTGAGGTTTTGTTTACTCAAAACAAAATTTAGATTCAGATGTAGACAACTGTGGTTTTCGCTTGGCTGGCTCAATTAAAACTATGGTTGAAGACTCTAGATATGCCATCCAAACCTAGTAGAGGCTCCTTTCACTATTATTTATTCAATTAGCTGGCTTATATATACATACCATGCTTCACGCATAATTCTGCATAGCAGTTTAACACACACTGTGTAATCTTGGCCCTGAGGTCACTACTCTGCAATTTAGTTGATGGCATGATGAACTTCGTCACATGCGAGATGTAAGAACTTGATTCACTAAGCCCCTGTGCAGTCTCTAAAGCTCAGCGTGCACGTCAGCCCGTGGGTGGAACAAATACAGCAGTAAGCTTCCATCCGAGCAGAGAAAGGAAAACACAGGATGAAGAATTCAGCACAAGGTTGAAGCAAGAAGACAGATGAAACAGTCAAGTAGGTAAATGCATTGCTCCAAGGTTTGGCACGCATCTGAGTAAACAAGCGAAAACCTGACACTCCGTCTAGGAAAGGGATACTCCACCCTTCAAAAAATAAAGAAAAGAGCATTATTGCAAACTATCAGAATGCATGGAAAAAAAAGAATAGGAAGTGTGCCAAAGTGTCAATTTATTTATTCAATCAAGTGAGAAAATTCTGAATAGGTGACATCACAAAGACAGCAAAAGCAAATTTGTTTAAATACAACTGTTTTCAAACATGGTTCTGACTGAATCAGTTCAGATAATCCTGCTATTTTAAAACATGCTCTATAGGTTTATATTAGGTTTCCTTAGAACGTGTAACCAAAATTCTTGCTTAGAGTTAGACAAGTGGATACTCACAGAATCACCAAGGTTGGAAAAGACCTATAAGATCATCCAGTCCAACCATTCACCCATCACCGACAGTTCTCACTAAACCACGTCCCTCAACACCAAGTCCAAACGTTCCTTGAATACCTCCAGGCTCGGTGATTCCACCACCTCCCTGGGCAGCCCATTCCACTGCCTGACCACTCTTTCAGAGTAGTATTTCCTAACATCTAGCCAAATTTCCCCTGGGGCAGCTTGAAGCCATTTCCTCTAGTTCTATCACTGTTACACAAGTGAAGAGGCCAACCCCCAGCTCACCACAACCTCCCTTCAGGTAGTTATAGAGAGCAGTGAGGTCTTCCCTGAGCCTCCTCTTCAAAACTCATCTCAGGTACATCTCCCACTATTCCAAAAATAGCAATTTTCCCTCAGTCTTAAAGAAACAACTAAACATTCATATCATCCCGTGATTTACACTGGAACTTTGAGGCCTCTAGTCCAAGCTTCTGCTCAATGCAGAGCCAGCTGAAAAGTCAGATCAAGTTGCTCAGGGCTTTGTTCAGTCAAGTTCTCCTTCCACAGCAAGCATTCAGACAACCTGAGTCAGACATCCTATCCAGCCCAATCAAGTAATGATGGAGCAATTCATTCCAGTGCTTGACCATTCTCACTGCAAAACAATTTTCCTAATAGCTAACCAAATTTCTCTTGCTGTAATTTACAGCCATTACTCCTTGTCCCTTGTATATCTATCTCCGAAGAGCCTGTTTTCTTTACCCATTAGGTTCCTGAAAATAGCAGCAAGACCTCCCCATACCACTACCTTTGCCTTCCCTCCTCAAGTCTGAAAATATCCATCCACCCCAGCTTTCCAAGAACTCTACTCCCCTAATTGCGTAGGCGGTACTGTGGTGGAATTCATTTAACCTGTGGACACCTTTCTCATATTAGATAGACCTAAACTGATTCAGATTCAGTTCCAGTATTCAAAGTGGTACATACAAAAAGAACCAGTTATGTTAAAATCATTTATTGCGACATTTGGGATATTTCCTTGAAAAGTTCAAAATTTTCTTAAGATGCAACATCCTCTACTGCAAACTGACCAGCTGACATTAAAACTGAGTTTTAGTTAGACAATAAAAAAAGCAGTTTCCACTTAACAAAGAAAACGTAGCGCTAAGGAGGCCAAACAGTTAAGAAATTTAGCTTGTATTTGCCAGATGTCTTTGGCTGATGCAAATTACATGATTTCATTTAAGAAATGTAAAAACAAATAGTTTCAACATTTGTAATAAGTGTAATTTGGGATAACTTTTATAAAAGCCAAGAAGACAAAAGGCTGCAAATTCATAACACTGTTCAGGGAGAATAGCAACCCTCCTTTTCAGAAGACTGATCAAAGCAGAAGTAACACCAGGGTTCAAATTATTCTGCTGCCTACAAAGCCCTGAGCCCATAACATCCAGAGAGTGCCTTTCATACTGTTATCAATCTGATTTTCTCCTGTTATTGGCACTGAGTCACAAGGACATCACAGCTACCTGATGAGGGCATTCTCAAGTTAAGATATCTTGGAAAATCTTTTCTCCCATCTGAATGACATATTTATTTAACAAACAACAACAACAACAAAAGAAAACCATATTTCCTGATACAATGCAATCAGTATCACCTGCAGCATGGCAAACTGTATCCTCTCCTAAAAGCTGAAATACATCTGCTCCAATTTCCTTATGCTAAGAAATGATTCCCAATTAGGCCCTGGACATCACCAGTAACCACTATGAAAGAGAGTAGTGAGTCTAAAAATGGAGCAGACCTTTCAATGATTTCGAGAATTGCTGAGAAGTACCCCAAGAGGATATTATCCACTTGGGGTTGAATGAATCTTCATCTTCAGACTGAAGATTTTTTTTTTTCATTTAATTAGAGAAAGAAAACAAAAAAGAAAATAGTTGGATTTATATCAACAGCATGAATTTTTTTTGTTCACCCATCAAGATGAAAAAAAATCAGTTACATAGCTTTAATATATTCAGCATTGACGACAGACAGAGAAATGTGGGTGTACATATGTAGCACTTCTTTTCATCTGTTGCTGCTAGCAAAGCTCCCAGGAAGACCACCTGGACACCAAGCTGTCTTTACCCTTCCAGGCATTCTGGAACACATCCTCTAGCAGATCTGCTCTACTGACACGCTGACCTGTAAAACAATTGGCTCTGTGAGCCTCTTACCTGCTGATAGCAATGATTTGATGTGAATAACAGCCTTTGAAATAAGTTCACTTTCATGAAAATTTGTTCTCAAACTTCCTGAGGAAAAAAGAAAAAGAAAAATCTCTTACCACGTGGATCCAGAAAGACCAGCGATGTAAGTTGCACAGTCTAAAACTCCTGATTCATAAAGCGCTTTCATGACTCCAGCAAACCCAACCATGGCACGAAATCCACCTCCTGAACCCAGTACTGCTATCACTGGTACCTGCGAGAGATTAAAAGAACAGTCTGTCATCACATCAGCTCGGTTACAGACTTAAGTAGTAAATAAATATTATTCACTAATCACCAGCCAAACATAGTAACTGTGCAATTAGTAAAGTCACCACGCAGTAAACCTCACGGCAGACACAAGACCTACACTGATCTGTGTGTAACAAGTTCTAACAAGACAAACAGAAGGTATTTTGCAGCTTCTTAGTGGCACATGTGTAAGAGAGTGGAAAATAACTTTAAAGCGCTCTGAGATATGACATTTAAACAGCAAGAGTGCCATGAATGCACCATGAGGTTAAGTGTCTACCTTAGCATCACCAGGCCCAGGAGTGATGTACATCTTCTGTATATCACTTGCATTGTCCTTCTGCTTCACTAAGAGCTGTACAGCAGAAATACTTACAGACTGCAGCATGGGACCACAAGGAAGAGCAACCAGGAATCAACCAGCAGCAAAAGATTCAAAGTTCTGCCACGGTGAAAACCTCGTGCAAGGGCAGATTTCCTTTCAGCTTCCTATTTATCTGGTACCAAGGGATTACTGGTAACCAGGAGGCGCAAATGAAAGGCACCATCTGGTATGAAGGGATGTAAAAGGAGGCTACTTCGGCCTAGCAAGGTGAGCAAGAAGACACAACTGGCGTAACACAAGGGTAGGAAGGAAGCATGAGTTTCCAGAATAGGCAGTAGCAAACTTGCTACTTCGGATGGTGAGGGAAATCCCTCCCACCACCTCCAGCTCTTTGCCTTAGTTCAGAGCCCTAGTGACAGAGAGGGATGAACAAATGCAGTCAGGGAGGATTTTGAACTGGCTGCTCTCTAAGAAACAAGATGACAAGGTGACAAGCAGCTGGCTATTCCCTCCTCTTTGGGACACAGGCCAACCTGACAGTCAGACCAGCTTGTACAGGGAGGTCTGCTGCTCATTCAGACTCTGGATCCAGGACAGCACGCAGAGAAGGCTGAGTCTCATTTGGCCTTCCAGTTTCTCACCTCTCACCCATGTGGCATTACTGATACAGATGAAGATGAGAAGGGTTTGACTCCCCTTTAAAGAGGAATAAGGGGCACAAGTCCCCAGGCCTGTGGCCTGTGGCCTTGATCTTTTCAGTCTGGAAGAGGAATAGCTCGGGCTGATCTTGTCATGCACAGGTGGTATCACCAGGAGACTCTTGTCAAGATTGTGAAGCCTTGACGATGAAAATGGTCCACTGGGAAAATAAATTATCCTCTTAACCAACAGAGGGAGGAATATTTCCCTGAACAAATTTTCATCAGGATTAAACCAAAGACTTACCCTTGCAGAGCTTCTGGGTCAAGATAAGAGATGTTGGGGCAGTCTGATTTGGACTGGTGAATCAACTGGATCAAGGGAGTAAGGCGTTCTCTAAAAAAAAACCAGAAGTCTCCTAGTCTGGCTGTGATCAAAGAATAACACTTTGCAAACCATCAAAGAAGTCTGTAGACTTCACAGCCTACTGCAAATGCTAGAGGACCGACTGGTAATGCTGTACTGCAGCTGCTGCTCAGTAAAGCACCAGGGGCAAAGGTGGCACTGGGAGCAGCTTAGACTGTAGGCATTGTGAGTGACTGAGCTGAGAACCAGGCCAAGGTTGCAGAGATGAACACCACAGTAGGACTCTGGTAGGACTGAGAGCCATGACACAGAACGCCCCTGATTTTCTCTGCTGGCAGTTGACTGAGTGTTGACGAATGTACTACATCCAAGCACAACTGAACTAGCTGATCTTGAGAGGTTCCTTCCAAACAGTAACTCTGTAGTTGTTGTATCTTAGTTCTTCTTCATTACTTGCTGACAGAGTGCAATATTATCACTGTGCAGAATTCTTAATTGTAGGTTCCTTATTGGCATGGAAGGTGTCTGATTTTTCTGATTTCTTGGGTCAAGCAGTAAAATATGTATGCATAGTGAAAGTCAAACACTACTATTATGAGCCTCCTTCACTAATACAGACTCAAAATACAATCAGTAGACTACAGACCGCCTCAATAAACCAAGGTAGGTTTTGGCAACAGTAAGCTGTGGACCCACAATATCCTGTTACTTAGAACACTAATTGTCCAATATCTTAATAATCAGAATTTATTTGAAGAAGCCTCCACTTTTAGCAAGAATTCTTAATAAAAATATACTCCAAGTTTCTTTTGACTGTTGGTTCTGATTTTGTATAAGCCAGGAAATAAACAAAACAGAAAAGGCATTAAATGCAGATATTCAGTAACTTAGTCACAAAGCCACAGAAATTTTTGAAGCAATCCAAAGACCAGCTCTAATCCAAATGAAGTGACAGAGCCAAAGGCAGGAAGAGTTACTAATAAAAACCGAAAGACAAGCAAATAATATTTTGGTTAGGAGATTAAATTAATCCACATTTGATAACAATAATTAAAAAAAAAAGGAAAAGAAGATATTGCTACACAGCATGAAGCCAGTCTCAAATTTAACCAACCTTACAAAAGCTACTGGTGAAATAAGGAGAATTTATAGGCATCTGTTTACCTAATTAGCTACTGCATAGCTTCCCACAGTATTTGGAAAGAAGATAGAAGAGAACACAAGCACAATCACTACCAGCATCAAGAATTTTATACTAAGCAAAAGTCCCACCTGGCTCCCGCTTTCAGAAATCTAGACTTTTCGACTGTTCAGTGTGATTAGGCAACTCCTTGGCTGTTACTAAGTGTAAAAAACTCACACAGCTGAGTAGGAAGACTGTATCTGATCAAACTAGCAATCAGTCAAAAATGTCACTGAAACTCAAGCTGCCAATGGATGGGATGAGTTAAAGAAATGGAACCACGTGACTACTGAGTTCGGTTTCTTTCTATAGACTCCATATTCCAAGTAGTGAAGCTTCTGTGCAGAACAAAACTGTACAGTCCCATGGAAATGATCATGCACAGTGACCAGTAAGTTGAGACATTTCCTGAGGCTTACATTCTGCAAAAACTACTTATTCTTGATGCAACCAGATTATTCGATCATCTTCTTTGTAAGTGTTAAGCTTTAGTAATATAAACCACAGGCATTTACTGGCACCAGCATTCATCATGCACATCCACAGATAGCTATCTACCCAAAAATGACAAAGCAAAAGTAAAGATTGAGGACGTGCCTTGTTTTGTTAAGCCAACACCTCAATAACGGAGCAGTAGCTTTGAACAGGAGAGCCATATTACTAATCAGAAATTTAATAACGTATGTTAGGCTTTGAAAGCTCTTTACAAACACTACCTAATTAACCTACATAGACAAATCCCAACAGGATGAAGAGGGTGGTTTGCAGGTGCAAGGCTGGAAAAAAGTATGTGAGGATACTTTCAAAGCACCACTATTCAACAAATCTATTCATCACTAGAGTGGCAAGAGCACAAGGGAAAATTTGAGCTTCCTTCAGAATGCAGAGAAGTCTGCAAGTAGGATCAACAAAGCATGTCAAGAAGAGTCACTACCATGTGAATGCAAACGTTTATGTATACTTAATCCACAGACATCCCGAGAATCAGAGTTACCTATACTGGGGAAAGAGGGGTATGCAAAGAGCTATGTGTATATATAGGAATCTCAATTTTCACTTGTGATATCAAAGCAAAACATGAAGAACTGAATGTACTACTTTAGTTCCAGAAATGCACTGAAAGAGCTCTAGAGCAGAGGGCAATAGCTGAAGCAAGCATCCCACGGTAAACAACTTATTTAAATACTGAAAATATAACTGGAGAGAAGCATCTTCTGCATATCTACATCAATTCATTTAGACCAATCTAATAATAACTGACATGGAGATATAAGCAAGGTGATGAAGGTGTGAGTCCTTTCCTGCTGTGCAAAAGAATGCAAAGAGTTTTGCTTTACTACTACCAAGTAAGTAGGTTTGTTAAAGCAGCATTTCAGCTGCAATTCAGTTTCTAGCAGGTTTAAAAGTAAGAAATGGAAAAGTCTGAAATCACTTACAGCCATCCTGCAAGTTCTGCTCTAAGATAAATAGGGCAGAAGCAGGGACGACAAAGGGAGAAGAAGATGCCAACTCAGCACTGAGAAAGAACAGAGGAGACTAAGACATGCATACACCTCCATGCACACAGGCGGTTGCTAAGCACTATGCTCTTCTGAGGGACTCTATTCAAGCAAGTTAGCAATCTAGACCAAAAAGGCAAGGGACTCACAAGGATGTCATGCAGTGAGTCAACGGCAACATTGTGAGCTGAAATCAAGAGTCTTGTTAACAAAAGCCCTTTGCTCTGATCTCTGGCCATACTGCCACACTGACTTAGAATCATAAAATGGCTTGGAAGGAACCTTAAAGTTCACTGAGCTCCCACCGCCCTGTTGTGGGCAGGGTTTTCACCCACCACATCAGGCTGCCCAAGACCTGTCCAACATGATCTTGAACACCTACTTCTATAAGGTTGCACACTTCTCTGAACAAGCAAAAAGCTATACTGGCTTGGGTTTCTTTTTCTTATTGTTGGTCTGCATGGCACCAACCTAATTCTGAAAAAAAATTACATCATCCAAACTCCACTGAACAGGACTTCGCAACTTTGATAAAGAATTTTCTCAACATGTTCTTACTGCTTGTAGGAACCAGGTAGCAGCATGAAACATGAACAGGCTCAGTGCAAAACTTCAGTCACCAAGCATCTCACTTCAACAAGTGCTGGCTACTCAATCTCCTTAACTGGTCAAGAAAATGAAAAAGATCTGGGAAACAAGATATGATTTCAGGAAAACAAGCTCTGAAAAGGACCATCTCAATCCTATTTTTCAGTAACCTGGCAAAAAAAAAAAAAAAAAAAAGTTAAAATATTAAACATTAAATTCTGTTTTGAGAACAAGAGCTGCAGATGTTCTCATTCAACTGCTCTGGAAGCACAGTGCACAAAACCTGGACGTAAAGGTCTGAAGTGTAAAAGTACTTGCTATGGGGTACATAGATGATTATTAAAAATTGTTGTGAAAATTCAGTCTCAGACAATTATATACCTTCCCTGATTCTGATATTTTTAGAAAACTGTTCAAATGAAAACTATAAAAATAAGAAATATCACAGGTATGAGAAATCTCATCTTCTGTGTTTTCTGAATGCGCTTCTGAATTAACTAAGGAGACTTGGAAGTATACAATTATCTTCCATCCAGGGTGGCATAATTATTTCACAGGTATTCAAGTCTCCTAGCATCCTTGCAAAGCACATGCTGCCATTGACAGATGAAGAAACTTACATGAAATCTAAGTAGGTACTTGTTTAAAACCACAGGCAGCTAAGAACACTCACGTCTTTCGATTCCTGAAGCCACGTTAAGACTTCTTCAAATATACTATAAATCCTCCTGCTATCTCACATTTCTAGCAAAAGAAAGAGAAATTACAAGCTGTAAGGACACAAATGTATTTTAATTTGAACAAAAATGATTTTTCATTGCTGGAAGCAGCTACAATATTTGACATGTCAGCTCAGAAATACATACTTGACAAACAAAAAGGGGGGTGACTGCATTACCTCAGTCCTCTAGGGCTGATAAGACTACACTCTTTGGTCTTGGTAGATGCAGCTTAACTGATGAACTTTGAGACAGCGAGGAATACCAAGGGAAGATGACAACAAAAAGAATATGAAAGCTTACCTAGCTTTTTCAGTAATCAGATTAACTTATGCACATATGCCACCTGCAGAAAACTGATACTTCAGACACTAAGCTTCACTCCAATTTTACCTGGAACTTGGCAGAACATCTTTACATCTTTTCTGACAAATATATGCCTGCTATAGAAGACCAGACCAGTATCATTCATAGATATCTACCCTATGTGTATGTGTGAACAGTAAAATAACTGCACCTCATTAAAAAAAAAATAAAATCCCATATAATAAAAAAAATTCCTATACAAAGTGTATGATATATATCACTACAAATAAAATATGCACAACACTTTTACATTTTCATTTTACTCAGTAAAATCATGCAAGCACACTTTACTAAGAACAAGCTCAAAGCTATACATCAATAACACAGTCACTCCCTACTCAAAACTTCACAGAAATTTAGAAGGGAATTCTGTATTGGTTCTGATTTCTGCAAAATACTATCACATTCTGCTTCTGCTAAACAGCACAAATGGAATCAATATTTTAAAGCCAGATAAATTTAGCAGTTTTGTTCATTGCTATTGCAAGCCAAGGGAGCAAAACAGGATAGGGAACAAGCAGGGAAGAATGAAGAGTATGGATAAGCCAGACCAACACAAATAACTGAATGTACACTGAATTTATCCTTTATTAACTGAAAATAAAGCACTGTTACACAGAATCACATTAAGGAGTGGTAAGATTCAGCACACTTTGTATCTTCCACGTGACCCAAACCATCATCAATCCAACCAATCCATCTAGCTCTGCCCAGCTCACTTTTCTACTGGGCTCATTAGCACAGCTTCACATACCCTCAAAGAATTAAACTCCGTAAGTCCAGCTCTACAGAACAGACTACAGTAAAAGAAAGAAACCATTTACAAACTGACTCTAACATTAAAGCTGCTCTTTTTCTGCCTGGTCCTTTAGACACAAAGGCCATAGAGCCAAGGCCATCTTACAAGAGTGAAATGAAACGCACTGATATGTCTCCTCCCTTGCCCAATTCTAACTCAGACACTGCTTTCAAAAATTAAAACCAAGAACCAGGTTGGAATTCACACTGGATTTTTTAAGGTACACTGATAAAAAGCTGTGATTTCTACCCTAAAATAGTATTTCTGCAGTCCTGTTCTTTTGCATGCAATTTTCTTTAAGTGCAGCTTCGTTTTGACACAGGATTTTGTCTCCTTAAACTTTTACCTATAAACTTAGGGCATGAGAAAAATCACTCCTCATCCTAAGCACAGAGGGAAAACAATTGTTTTGCTTTTGTCATCTGTCATTACACTGGACTGTTCTACCTAACGTGTGTCACTCCTTCAGCTGAGACACAAATGCAGGACTCCACAAGGGATATTTATTTTTATGTGGATTCTGCAAACTTACGTCACGGGAAGTGGTCAAGTTCTTGCTGTTTTCCTCTCCTAGGAATGACTTCATACTCTGCATGATATTTTCCTTCCGCTGCTGCCGGAATTTCTTCTCCTCGTCACACAGAGCCATGCTGAACCGGAGGTCAGTTGAAGAGCTGTTTTTCAGAACAGACAGGAATTAGAGAAAGCCCTATTCAAGGAAGAAGACCAACTATGAATTCCAAGAAGAAGACCAACTATGAGTTCTAAATAAAATAAAACAGAATAAAACAAACATATACTCATGCAACAGCTGCATAATGTGATTTGACACAGTGAAGGAAGCACAAAACAATGACACTGTGTCGCTAAGATATGTATTTCACACAGAAACTTCACTGTTCACATCCTAGAGTAAAAGAAGGCACAAAATAAGCAGCTTTTACTGGTGTATTACCTAGTCTCAAAAAGTAACATTAAGTTAATAAATGTGAGTGATGAAGCAACTACAAATTTTTAGCCTAGAAGCGTGAATTCTCTATTTATCCACCAAAAAACCACCAACTACAATGAAAAAACATTCATGTGTGCTACTGTATACTCTTAAGGGGAGGAGAGGGCAATTTTGATGCCATATCCATACAGTCTTACTATCAAAAGCTGTATGGATCTCAGCAGAGATTGTACTGAATGGAGACAGAAAAAACAAAGTCTCTTTTTCCAGCTGTTTTCCTACCCCACATGATCACAAGCATGCACAGGACTGTGTAAAGACTTCAACACCCTCTCTGAATAACAGCCACAGCTTCAGCTCCCACTTCTCATTTCAGATAACAAGACAGGAACTGAGTCAGCATGTCACCCCAGGAGTCTAAAGTACAGCACTGCCAGTTTTCAGAGCCTGACAGACCTTTTCTCCCTTTAGAAAAAGGCCTTCGGAAAAAGTCTCACTACTGCCAGCCCAGAAGCCATCTCCTGCTTAAGACCCCTTTTGTGAATATGCATCACAGAGCTCAGAAGGGTCCCTCTCACACACAGGCATGCAGGTGAGTGACAGACACTTGCACAGGAGCGACCTGCTGCAACACTGCCTCTGCCAGGTAGCGGTGAGGGTAGGCATGCAGATTCCCATATTTTTGAAATTCCCATATTTTTTAAAAAAGGACTGTTTACAAGCAACATCCCAGGAAAGTATATTACAATTGGAGAGCCCCACAAAACCCAAAATCCGTGTGACTGTCAGTGCATAGCAGAGTAGAACTTGACTGGATTCTTCTGCTTTACTACTTCAGTGTCTACTGCCAATGCATCAGCCAGACACTGTCAAGCATCTTACGTTCACTTAAGTCTGAGATATGAAACACTCACAATTAAGAGCTCTGAATGTTTTAGGGCTGATCTGAAGAACCACCCACATATCCACCTTTATTAGCATCAAATGATGAACAAAAAAATGATCCCTGGGGGCTCTCTGTCAGCCTTCAGAGTCATTACATACATTTAGCTACTGGCTCAGCACTGTTATTACAGTTCCGGAAAAAAAAAAGAAGAAAAAAAAAAAAGACTTTAAACACCTTGTTCTCAGAAATTCATTTCTAGACTTAAAAGACATTTTTCTGATTATGCCTCAAGGTGATTTTTTGTCTTTCACCTGGATAGACCGAGATAGAGGGATAAAGACATTGAAAGAAAGAAGATTAAAACAAAACAAAAAAGGAGGTATCAGCTCAGCTTCATGGGAAATCCTGTCCAGAATGGGATATTCCATTTCCACCTTGATACTACACTGAGGTGCACTTCAGGGCAGCTTTGTAATGACTACACACACGTAATGAAAGCTACCATGAGATGCAAAGTCACTACAGAAAGTAAAACAACAAGCTGAATTCAATGTCTGAGACTTCATTAGGGAGAGCCCTTGAAAAAGAAAGTATTTAACACAAGCCAACATGAGAAGTCCAACAGCCATGACCCTCAAACATATGGAAAAGGAAAAACTATTCAGAAAAGTAACGCTGTTCAAGTCGATCAGACAACTGCTGTTCGAAGACAACCTTCAATTTTCAAGTCTTTGATTTTTTCAGTCCTTGGTATTTAAAAACTAAAATTAAGGATTTTTGCACTCTGCAGGGCATGTTTAAAAGAAAACCAGAACAAATGGAATAAATTTTAAATAAAGGTTTTTGTTGCTAGTATATTTTCCTTTTATTTATTTATTTATGGGTTTCAATAGGAGATACTCACCACACTTCAAGAGACAGCTCCAAAATCATTTCTGTAACCTACACAAGAGAGATTTAAATCAAATTACAACATTTTCAGCAGGAAAAAAACCCACACAGGCACCTGGAATACAAAGTCACTAGTGCTATGGGCTTTTTTAGATCACTTCATTGAAAAAAGAAGAAATTGCTAAAATGTGTCAGTGAGTTTACTTTTTACCGAAAACACAAGAAAATGCTGCTAGGTGCAGCTAGGTGCTGGCTTTCAGTGGTTAGATGGCATTATCTTCCATTTTTTCAATGGCAATCACTTTTTGACAGTTATTTATGTTTGACCTAAAGGTATCTGATTGTTTTCATACACTGAAGATGTGGCTGCAGTTTGACTTTTAGCAACAGCCCTAGCAATCACCAGCTGATCAGCTGCACATGCAGAAGATACTATTCACACAGTGAGGGACAGGAATCTTGCAGGACTCCTGCAAGCTACATGGATCTACCTGGACATAGCTATAGCTTGGTTCTCTCTGCCTCCTTCACAGAGCACTTAAGAGGGTTCCCTGCAAGCAAAGGTTTACAAAAAATGGTTAAAGCACTCATCATACTCGTTAGCACCAGTCTGAGAGTACAAGGTTGCCAGATTAAGGATAGAGATAAGCACAGGCATCTCCCCAAGACCTTGCAGGAAATGGCTGCTGACTCACCAGTACAGCCCTGCAGGCATGTAACACACATTGTCTTCCTTCACTCTGCCTCTCGCTATACCTGGATACTCTTCCCCACATGCAGTATGTGATCTTAGCACAGGGCAAGGAGAGGATAACAGCCCTGCTGAGTGCAGAGCAGGTATGGATGGGGCAAACTCTGCTGCCTCCCACACCAGCACTGCACGCAGGGAGGGAGGCACAGCAGCAGGGCTGGAGAAAGGAAAGGCAGAGGGAGAACGTGAAGGAACAGTGCGAAGAGTCATTTATGGAAACACATCAAAGGCAGAGTAGCAATTACGTAATTCCAGCACCTGACATTATTAATTTAGAAAGCACTTCAGAAAACATGCAATGATTCAATGGTTGAAGAAATGTATGCACACAGTACTACATAAACCCTTGAAGGGAAATGTTCCAGCAGGGAGAGCATGTCTTTTTTACCTTACACAGACTGCCCAGCAAATCTCAGGGATACGCACTGTGCATGCAAACTGCCTGCATGGGACTCAGCCTGACCTGATGTTCCCTTCCCATTTGCTTCTTAAGGTAACCCCTAGTTAAACGCTAAGGTTCGTGCATGGAGCTCCCTGCTTCCCAACAAATGGGCTTTAATTGTTTATTTGCTGTAATCAAACCTAGTTCTAAAGTTGTATCTGGCTGAAAATAGCAGAGCAGTCACAAATCAGGAGCTCTGACCATATCACGATCACAGCCCCAAGCAGGAATGCATGCAGTACTGATAATAGATACAGTATATGCACATGATATATAAAAAGATGAGCAGACGTGAGAGATATAATCAACTGATGAAGTGTGTTCAGAATGGCCTTCAATACTGTGATACTTTAATCCATGTAGAACAAATTAAATTATTAACAGATGTAATAACAATTTCCAGGAGTTACCGTGCAGACAGGCAAACCATGTTAAACTGACACCATTTTGTTTTGCATATGAGTTTAAAGAAAATAATCAAACTAGAACTTGTCTTCTTTTTTTTCAGCACCACATGCAGTAATGCAGCATTAATGTTAAGTAGGGCTGTGTTACAACAAGCCATTCATTACAACTGCAATGCACAACAATAAAAGAATTTCTGTTAGCTTTCTGGAAGTCACAAACTTCAAGTAGTAGAGATAAAATAAAATCCATATAACAAAGGCCATGAAACTAAAGTGAACCAAGTGGTGCTGAAACCTGTTTGATACTAGACTTGTAGAGAGAATTGCCTCAGAAAGAAAAGTATTCAGTGCTACTCTGTTTATTCATTATCTTCAGCCGTACTGCAAAGAGATAAATACAGTGCCAGCAGGCAGCCCAGTGCTTAACCATGGCCAACAGTGAATGCTCAGGAAACCAGCTTCAGGACCAGGTGTGCAAACCTGAGCTGAGATTTCCCCCTGCCCCAAAGCCTCCAAAGATGTAGCTATTTCCTGACCTACAGGCAGCCATTACCCAACGAGGGATGTAATATCTCATTGTCTATTTTAAATTTAAAATTGTGTTGATAAAACACAGCCAGAAATAGCAACAAAGAAGCCTTGGATTTTTAATCAGGGTTGCAAGTGCAGGCTAAATGTTTTCCTTATGAAGTGACTAAGGGTAAACTCCGAGTAACATCAGACTCAGTGAGATTCCTTAGGAAACATCACTCAGGCTTTCTAAGCACCAACTTCAGCATTACTTGTGAAGAAGCTGTATCTAACCATGTATATCCACATTATAACAGTGATTTAGGTGCTCTCAGTTCAGGCACTGATTACACTGATTACAAACTTCCCAACAGATTCACAGACACATAACAAAGGCAAAGCCACAAACGTTACTACTCACATTGTTGAAAGTTAATTGGACCTCCTTCTTCTCTCCCAGTTTCAGAGAGGATATAGGAAATGTGGCCATACCAAGAGTCTCATCCATAACGTAGTTGGCATCCATCAAAGTAACCTAAAAAGATAAATGGCATTCAACACTGATAAATCCCTTTTTTAGGTCCATATGGATTATGTCCAAAGTAACTTTTAAAAAGGGATGTGGAAAAGAATGTAACTAACCCAACACAGTCAACACCCTAGGGTATGCTCTTCAAGCAAGATAAGCTAGCACACAGTGAAGGTGGCTTTTTTTTAAGGCATTCAATAGAGTGAGTATGACAGTATCATTCGTAAAACAATTTTCATTTGTGCACTTTTTCTGTCAATAAATCTCATCACAATTCTGAACAGATGCAATTACTTCAAATTATATGAATTATATATATAATCATTTCAATTTCTAGCTAGTACATCTCTGTGGAGAAGACAATAGTGTTCTAAGCATCATATGCCAAAAAACATAATGCAACTTTTTCAGCTAAGATGGAATCCATGTGTCCTTATTTTCCATTCACAGACCAAGAATTTCATAGCAAAAGAAGCACAGCATTCCAAACGACACAAAGCCTTTCTCTGTATCAAACCAGACCTTCAAGTCTCTTCTCATTTTTCATATCAGAGCATATACCTTTGCAAATGCAATACTATCCAAGCATTGATGCAAACAGCAGAGAACACTGTCCAATGCATTTGCCCTAATTCTCCTGTGCCAATGCATTTGCCCTAATTCTCTTGTGCCTATGTCTAGCTGTCTTTTTTCTCAGAGGCAGCCTTTCAGTTCTCAAGTAAGATGCTTGCAAAGAGTTTCAAATTACTGTTTCCGTGGTTTCTAGTAAATGAGTTCCCCAAATTCATTTGGCTTATGATTTTTTTCCACTTTGTGGATTAGTTTCTTCTGAAATACCATGTTTGTGGCTTGGAGCATATATTTTGCGTAAAACAAATGCAATCAAGACACAAACACTTGCATGACTATTTGTTAAATCTGAGCTCAACCTTTGCTCAGCTATAGAGAATTTGTCTCATCCTGTGCCACTACTGATTCTTTGAAACAAACTGTATTTTAGTGACATTGGTATTCTAACATCATCTGCATTCTTCTGTTTCCTCACAGGACTCAATACTCATTGTTGTAACCTTTGAGGGCTGATTTATGAAACCAGCAGCAGCAGTAAGAACTTCATAGCAGGATTTTAGAGAGCTTCTTACACTTCAAAGTAAAAACTACACTTGTGACAGTGTTAAACGTTTAAATGACCTGAGGAGTAGAAGGGGTTGTGGAGTCTGCGTGAGCCTGGGAACTCACAAAATATGCTTTAGGTGGATTTTGCTGATTTGAATTCTGATGCTGTCCCCCACACAGGAATCCAAAGGCTCTGCTATGGACTCTGTGTGTGCACCACAATGGCAGAACAAAAATACCAGCCTTAACTTAAAGAACGTGTTTTTCATGGGGAAGAGAAGCTTTACGAAAAACAGCATGTATTTGTTTATGCAGACATAAATCAAGCAGATCCAAAATTAACCATTACTACATGGTATCGCTGGCTCTTCGCAGGCAATTTCCATAAAATTTTATAGCACTTGCCTCCTAAAACAGCAATGATCTTCAGTTATTGTAAAGATACATGTCCAAATTCTACTTCTAAAGAAATCTGCCACATTCTCTTATAACATGGCTGTCCTTTTGGCTTGCCTGGGCCACGCTGCGTGAAAATGAGCTGTCTTGGGCAGCACCTACATAAGTGTCTCCAAAAGTAATGCCTCCTATTTATTTCCATGGAAACCACAACACATACAAAAAGTACAATAACACTATTTGATAGAGCAGATTCTCAGCTACAAAAAGCAGTTATTAACACAGTCACCACTACTAGCTACGCACTTGCACCAGCAATGAACAAGAGCCTGCATGCCATGCTGGTAAAAATCTGCACCAGTGGAGGTGATCCACTGTTGCTGTCACCACTGCTGAAATGCACCACCCACCCCTCACTGTGCTCACATCCACTGTTTGATCTCCATCAACATTCAGCATGTGCTGATGAATGTCAATGGGTGTAATTTTTTTTTCTGCATGGAGGAATTCAGTTCCACACCTCTGCTTCATACACATTTCCACTTCAGACGTCATTCTGTCAGACTGTCCCTTTGCTGCCATCTGTCACGCTGCAACAACATATAATGGCATGCAGGCAGAAAGGTTCAGCCTCTACTGCCATCCCACCAACATCCACCTCTAATGTTGTAAGCCAACACAATAAAATATGAGGTATTACTTTTGGAGCAGCCCTCATAAAAAAAAATATACATTTATATTATATAAAATATATAATATTTTATCTTAATATAAAATATAAATTATAATAATATAATATATATTTTTTTTTATATAGCCCTCATAAAATAGAGCAACAAAGACAGGTTGATGAACCCAAATTCTTACTTTCTCCTTTCTATTTCCCCAAACGATCACTGCATTTCTCTTTCTAAGTCCTGATTACTACTCACCTATATTTTCATGAAAAAATAACAACTAAGTTACAGATTCCAACTTTTTCCCTGATTTCACTTGGCTATGCTGCATGTCTGAGATCAAAACACTTAGTGAGAATCAACTCAGGTGACCACTGCACAAGATAAAATGTCAGGAGCTGTTTTGCATAATCTGTTTTCTGCAAAACGATTGTGAAGTTACTCTGACTTCCCTGAAGTCATTGTCACACTGGTAGGATGAACATGAAAGTTCTTTGTGCTCCAGTAGGCTGATGCTTCTTCTTTGAACTGCAAATCTGATCATCACCCAGAGAGAGCATTGTTGGAAGCACAACACAATTTTAGGATCTTGATCTGTTTAGCCTCAAGAGGTCATAGTTACTAGGTCAACAAATAGCTTTCCAGGCTTTATCTTCTGCCCTTGCTCCCCATTTAATTTAGGCTGAAAACCTGTACGCTTACGTCAGATCAATTTACATGTTAGGACCATGTCCTTTGAAGAACCAAGCTAACACAGCACCACAGAACTTACATTCTTACTATATGGACTGGTAAAATAATTATATATAATACTTACCTTTTGTACACAACCCAAGAAGGCTTAACATACTGATATTAGACAATGGCTCAGACAGCAAGCCTGCACATGGACTAAGAGTTCCAAAACATCACTGTGTGTGCACTGAGAAAAAAGCAGAACCACACTTCTGCTTTTTGACTACTGAGGGGAAAGCAGGGAATGAATGGGCAGAAACTTGACTTTACAGCCCCCACGTACTCACTGTCCATAATAGCAGAATCAGTGAAGGAAGCAATGTGAAAAAATTTATGGCTGATGTGATCTTACAATGACTCTCAAGGCTATTCACTGAATACAACACCTCTTACCTAGCACCATGATTAAAAGCAAAATTCAGCCTTTCCTGTTAAACGATAAAAAACAATAACACCACCACAAACTCCAAAATCTCAACACAGGAGATGAACAAAGTACTGTTATTTTAAACTTCCAGACATTTTTTGACTTCCATTTCCACACAGGCAGCTCAGTCACTTTATTTACCTCAAGAACGTTCTCCTGGTTGGGGTCCAGAATGAACTCAAAAGTCTCGTTCCACACAGGATTCACATCATTATTGAAATGTTTAGTTCTCTTCCTGCAGTCAGGAGCGGAAGGGATGAACAGTTCCACATAGGGGTCTGGAGTGTCAACTACAGAGACAAACAATGCAGCATTCCATGTAACTCAAATCTGAGTTGTAACAGTCATGTGAAAACAGTTATGTGAAAACGCTGATGACCTCATGATCTATGGCAGAAATATATTTAAACTTAACTACACAAATTCCATGAATATAAAGAAACAAGCAATAAAACAATATTACCAGTATCTCAGAAGGAAACAGAAGTTATGCTGTTAGGTGAAGAGAGACTTGAACAAACAGAAAGGCACTGGGAAAGATTCACCTTTATTGGAAATACGTATACTTCTACCTAGCATTGGTAATTATTTCCAAAAGCTCTTACCCCTTCCTCATCCCAGTGTCACAGCAGTGACACAAGAGCATTCCACAAAACAGCCCTCAATTAAAAATCTAAACAAGCAATGGGGTGTCTAGCTTTGGATCCTCTTTCACCTGTTTGACTTTGTGGAGGTCACCACAGAACCATGACCTTGCAAGCACGTTATATTTGAAAAACAACTGCAGAACCCTGACTGAAAATACAGTAACGTATCACAACTTTATCTAATCAGAACTATTAGTGGGAGAAAAAGTACACCTTGAAAAAATTCACCTGACGTTCAATCAAAGCCATTCCATCCTGAAAGCAAAGAACACACTGTTGGCATCCCAACATTTCCAATCCATTAAAGCCAGTAATTTTCTTCTGACAAATGAGATTTTTCACTCAAAAGAGATTATTTTTTGTCTGACATTTAACCATCACCAGTGTCAACGTCTCTATTATGAATGACAGTTCATTCCTAAATGAGAAATTTCAGTTGTCCTGATCCTTAAATAGTGTCACATTGTAACTGCAGAAGAGATTCTATCCTGTTTTCACATTTAAGTTCAACTCGTAAAAGATAGAGAGCACTGTGGAAATAGAATGTCACTAGTGTGTTTTATCAACAGAAGAAATTCAGCCAACCTGTTACAGAAAGCAGTAGGCATGAATAGGACATGTGCTGTCAGCATCACTACCCTTCTCTGACTTATTTTTTTCTAAATCCATATTAGTTTGTTTTGCTTCAACCATATGTTCAGTAATAGTATGGATTTTCACTTTCTTCATCTCACCACTGTCAATCAAGGTTTAACAGAAAGTATTTTTTGCAACAATTTATTATCCTATAAATACAAGAAACAGGCTGGTGTTGACCTTTCCATACAAAGCCACTAGCTGTAACATGGTAAAACACACACATCTCCGCAGCCTCTCTGCAAAGGTTGTCCTCTGCTTTTGGGGAATACTTTAAAGAAAACATTCTGCTCACTATGAACATGAATCCTTGTATTAAAGATGTCTTTAGGAAAGAGATTAAAATCCATCACTAGGTCAAACAGGTCTGAACATCCCACCCTGTATAAACTTCAAGTCTAAAGATACTTTTTTCAACAGAGCCAGATGTGTTCAGAGGTTCCTGATTTCAATACATTATCAGAGTGTGCTGAAGCCAAGAGTCATGGGGTCCCTACAGCAAGGAGAAAGAGTAAACAAAAAAGTTTATATCAATACTTTCAGGAGTCAATCTCCTTTTGGAAAACCTCCTGAAAAGCCTCAGGAGGTTTTGTGTACCAAGGCAGAATGGAGTCAGAACATTCAGAGCCGCCTGCCACTGCTACTTGGGAACATCAGCGAGAGCTAACACAGTTTCTGACACTACCAACAGAGAAAGTACTGAACTTGCACAAAATAAAAAAACTTACAATCCCTGCAGAGAAGCAGAACAATATACAAGACTCAGACAGATTTTTATGTCATGCTCTGTATCTGTGGGTCTCAGCTAATTGCTACAACTTGGCAGGTCACATGTTACCTGTCAATTAACGAGGAGCTATTTAAAGCTAGGGAATGGTGTGGCAAGCCTTTAGATAGCACTCTTCATTAGCTCCTAAGAATTTTTGTCTTAGCTTGTCTCTTAGTCAGGGAGAGAGATGGGATCAATCCCCAGGTGTATTTTGCATCTTTCTTTTTCCACTGACGGATGTAACTAATTGCCAACTTCTACTGGCTGCATTACCTCTCTTGAATTACAACACAAATCCGTGCCTAAAGGCAGGGAATTCAAAGCCCCAGGAGCCTGCACAGCAAAACACGTACTGCAGTGAGCAGTGACAAGATCTCATCTGTAAGCCTGGACATTGAGCAATACCTAGGCAACAAACCCTAGGGACACACAGTGCCAAGAGGCTGAATGTGCCCCCAGAAGCTTGGTTTTTAATAAAAATAACAACACTTAGCAACGTTCTGAACAAAACTTTGATGCCTCTCCTGTTCAATTTTTATGTGACTATGGGATCAGCTCTAACTGGAAGTTACAAAACTTTGATTTTTGTTTTAAGCACAAAAAGCCAATGGCTCCCCATCTGTATTCCAAACCCCAAAGCACGTGGAAAACTCAGGCCTCAGCACAGCTGGCAGCCAGCTGCCATTACTGACTCCTCACCAGAGAGAATGTAAGTGAACACTGAAGCAGAACTTAAATCAAGGCACAGAGCAGCTAAACTTAGAAAATCAGCAACTAAAATAAATAAAAGAAATACCTTGGTAACTGAGCAATGCCAAGCCTCCCCCTCACTCCCTGCCTTTATTATGTTTTTTAACCCGAGGCTAGGAGTTAATAATCTGCCCTTTCATGTTTTAAAGTTTATTTTGTGCTATTTTCAATTAAGAAAATGAAAATCTATTCTTTTCAAACTTCCTTCTTCAGACGAAGAGGAAAAATACTGGAAGACTGTGTGCTCTGATTAAGATATTGCTACAAGCCATGCTGTATAAATAAAAATTGTACTCCTTTTATCACTTGGGGATGGCACTCACAAACTAGCTACTAGCAATCTAGCAATGCAAAGTTGCTTAATGTATTTAATGTGCAGGTAAAATAGATGGTGTATGCATCTTCTTGCACAGATCTATTTATTCCTGTACATGTCTTTGCTGGTTGATTTCCTAGGTATGCTTAAAAAAAAAAAAAAAAAAAAGAATCTCAAAAAATGAAAAACAGCTTGATCATCACTGTTATCTGTATTTTGATATTAAAAATACCCAACATTATAATGAAACAGCTTGTGGGTCAAAAGCTGTCGCTTTGAAACTGCAATCATTGTAAGAGAACTAAGTTTGCATACATAGGGGCAACTGTTAGAGAATTGCTCCTTGACTGAAGTGAAGCAAAACTGGAAAGAAACACAGCCAACTTCAAAGACTCTCCATGAAAAGCAATGTCTATTCATACCTCTTCCTCAGGACAGACCTATAGACACATGAACTATTGATAGACAGCGACTGTAGTGTACAACTCCATATTCCTCCCTTCTTGGCACTGTGACTCTATACAGTAAGAGCCTCAGTGTTGGCAGGCAATTAACACAAGACACTTCCAGAAGTAACTAAGAGCTGCACACACGGTGGCACAGGCGTGCTACAAAACAGAGACACCAGACACCATTCCTCAGAGAAAAAAGGAAGATAAACTGACATACAAATGTGGCTAAAAATCCACCTTCATACAAAGTACAAAATTAGTTTCAGCATTGATTTCAAGGGGTGCTACAATTATTAGCTTAGAGCTGGATGAATTATAAAGGTAGTTAACAAAACATTTATAATACATATTCTGAAAGATCTACAGCATCTGCCATTTTCCAAGGGTTTGGAGAGATCCAATACAAAAGCAAAATTAGCGTATAAAGGTGCTGTTGATTTGTTTCTTTAACAAACTTATAAACAGTCTTAACAAATGGCCAAGAGGTAGGAAGTAAGGTTTTAATGACTTCTATCTCCACATATATAATTCCTATAGAATCCTACCTCTGAACAACACAGTGAATCATAAAGCGAAACACACAACGGACACTAATTACAACCGATCATTCTCACGTGAAAAATGAAGCAATATACTAAAGAAAACTGTATGATTTTCTACAATGTCTGGAAACCATTTTATTTTGTACTATCCATTTGGCAGAATGGCTGAGATCAGGCCTCCATATTAATATAATTAACAGTATATATTTCAGTCATTCCAATTTCAATTATTTCAATACTATAACAGACTCAGAATCTACAGAAAACTTGTTCAAATCTAAACCAGAAGGGATAAAGCCACGTCTATTAATCATTAAAATTCATCTAATTGGTTTATCAAAGCATGAAAGAAATGCAAAGCTCTTGAAGCATTCAAAAATCCAATTTGCTACAGAAGAATCTGTCTTCTTTATCCCACTTATTAAAAGCTTATGATAAATACTTGTTATCATTGCATAATAATCTTGGATTATTAAACAAACTATTACTGGATTATTAAATAAAAACTGGTGAGGCCACACTTAGTACTGCGTCCAATTCTGGGCTCCCCTGTTCAAAATAGGCAGGGATCTCCTAGAAGGAGTCCAGCAGAGGACCACAAAGACTGTTAAGGGCTTGCAGCACCTCCTGTGTGAAGAAAGGCTGAGTAACCTGGGTCTGTTCAGCCTGGGGAAAAGAAGATTGTGGGGGAGGGGCCTGATAATGTTGATAAATATCTAAAGGGAGGTGGGAGGAAAATGGATGAGGCCAGGCTCTTCTCAGTGGTGCACAGTGATAGAGCAAGGAGTAACAACTTGAGCCTTGAACACAGAAAGTTCTGTACTAACACGAGGAAGAACTTCTTTACAGTAAGGGTGCCAGGGCACTGGAACAGGCTGCTCAGAGAGGTGGTGGAGTCTACTTCTAGGAGATATTCAAGATCTTCCGGACATGTTCAACCTACTGTAGGGTGCCTGCTTTAGCAGGGCATTGGACTGAGTGATCCCTTGAGGTCCCTTCCAACCCCTGCCATTCTGGGATTCTGTGAAAACTATATTAATATTAATTTTGGTTAATATATGCCTAGCATTATAGAAAGCAAATCTGGATCCAGACACTTTGGACCCATGACCTCCAGGCACCATACCTATGCACTTACAGGAATATTTCAGTAAGTGTATTGCAGAACTTTAAAGAAG